ACACCAGGGGAGAGCAAGTAGGGCATAATATTGTTAAGCACCTCCACTTACAACTTGAAAAGAAGGCCTGGGATCCTTCATGAGTTTCATAGGAAGCTTCTGATTCCAAGCAGGGTGATGACCAGGTGGCCTCATTACTAAGGATCTGAACCAGGAGGTTCTGAACATCACACGCTGACGATCTTGAAGGGTTTCAGCATGCAGACTCACCCAAGGAATCTGAGGTCATAGAGAGTTCTGGGGCCAAACCGCTTATATAGCAGTCCACTCTTGACTATGCACAATTTCCTCCACACTAAAGACTTCAGAATCTTCATCATAGAAGAGAACTGCCACCTCAGCTCTGTGACGGTTCTTAAGAGAATTCAAGGGAACCATAATCACATCTAACATCATGGAGTTCGCATCACGTTTCCGCCACTATGTTTAGCAGTCTCATGCCTGATAAAGAATTCATGCTGTTGCTGGGTTTGGAGAAGCACTCTACTAGTTGATCTGGTATTCCTGAGGCCTTGTGTCATGTCCCTCCAGACATTTTTGACCCTGTGCACTGGGTCTTTCCTCTCCGTCTGTCATGTCACGTCTATGCAGGTCAGGTAAGTTTTGGATATGAGCTCTGTGCTCACTCTAACACGAGGGCCTGGGAGCAGGCCCCAGGGACATTGCTTCTGTATCCTGCAGAACTGATAATTAGCTGCTTCGGCACTTTTGTTGGGAAGTGTGACCCTGGGCCTGGGGGCATAGACAATGCAGTGTTCTGTCCTGGTGGAGGTAGGCAAGAGCTCTGCCACCCTGCAACCCCAGCTCTACATTGCTGCCCACAGGTACTCCAGTGTCCCTCAAAAGCCCAGAGACACCCAAGTGCTCCATTTTCCAGCTCGTGCCATAGTCCAGTCATCCCTGAGGGTTCTGAGGGTTCCGGACCATCCTCTTCTCATTCTCCTTTCCAGGCTGGAGTCCTAGACTCTGGATGACAGAGGAGGCCTGGAAGTATTATTTCCTACTTGCTGAAGAACGACAAAGCCAGAGATTGTCTGATCCCTACGGGGTGAGTGCCCATCTATAGCTCCATATGCTTGTGCCTCTCAGCTCTCTGCCTGACCTGGAGCAGGGACACGAAACATTCTCATCTCTGGGACTGTCAGTGCCAAATCTTGGCCTTCTACATTTGGGTGTCATCTGCTCTGCAGGGAACCTGACCATTATACTTGATGCTGCCTTTGACTTCCCTTTCCAATATTTTCAGGTCTCTCTGAGCCTCTGCATTTGAAATACAGCCCACTTTCTCATTCCCTCTCTGAAGTTTCAAAGCTAAGTCAATGTTACCAGCAGAGTGGGCTAAGGAGTTGAGATGACAGGGAGAGCTTTTTGATTCCTACACTTGCATGTGAGGTACCTTGGGCCCTGTCAGATACAGCAAAGGAACTGCTGTATGTTGCATTTGTCCATCACCTTGTTCTGTAGCCAGTGTCCCTGAGCTCTGGCCAGCACCCCACCCCCCTGGCATGCTCTTCTGGCTTCAAAGGATATCTGAGAAGACCGAGGCTGGTAGATGGCAATACCTAGCCTTGCCACAAACTGCATCTCCAGGGGCACCCTCAAAAGCTACAGAGAAGCTGGGTAGGAGGGCCCCATAGTGAGACATCAAACCCTTCCTCCTGTACCTCCTCCCCTGGCTGAAGCAGGCCGCCCAGGAAGGAAACTCTCCTTGGCACTGCTTGCATGCAGCCTGCCTTCCCCTTGGAGAGGGTGTCTTTGGAGTATGAGTGTCTGAGGATCTGCAGTACCTGTGTCCACACCCTGGATGCAGGGACTGCCTCCTTCTCAGTGTTCACTACTGTCTCTCTGCTTGGATTGGGCTCCCTTCCACTGGCTCTAGAGGCACAAAATTCCAAACACAGCTCTACTGCTCAGCCTAGTGTGCAGGGTGCCTGATCCATGGCCACCTCCTTTGCCGTTTGTGTCCTAGGATAACTTCAGAGAACTGAGTGGTTTGGTATTTCCCGGGAGACATATGATACCTTTGCACTGGCCTCCCACAGAAATGAGTACTGCTCAAAGTGAGTGCAAGATCAAAAGGGCTAGAGAACGAGGTTGTGAGGCCAACCAAGTTGGTCTAGGGAGGAGCAGTTCTGATACATTTGTCATAAAGGATTTGCAAGACTCATGCCTCCAGCTGGAGGAGGGGTCCAACCATCATGTTTGGTGGCTCTTCAGGTCTTCTGTTTACATATATGTCTGAATCTTCTATCTAGATGAGCCTGAGTTTCCTCTATGTTCCATAATCTTCTGTAACTAGCTACAGTGTAGTGATTGGACATGATAGCCACCAGCCAAGTTGGAGGCCTTCAATTTGAGGCCAGAAATATGACAGACCTGCTTCTGAGCAACCTGAGACCAGGGCTATTGCTCACATCAGAGAAACCAAGGTGCTCAGGCCTTCAGGCAGAAGTGGACTAAGTTGCCCCAACCCCAGCCTTCCAGAGACCCAGTGGTAAAGGAATGGGGTGATCTCTCACAGTTACCCTGAGGGTGGTGCAATTCTTAGCTTCTTGTGAGCAGGTGAGCATACGAGCATTTGTTGTCAGCTTTGGATTCCCTCCCATTATGAAGTCTGTATGTGGTTATACTCTGAATCTTATCACAAGTCTTAGCCTCACAAAACTTCTACTTCAAAACTGTTTAAGTAGGAAAATGTATCCAAGGGGTTATTATCTGTTACATTAAATTGAGGGACACTGGAGAAAAGGAGAAATTTAGGTGATGGTATCAAACAGGGAAGCTAACAGAACCCTGTATGAATAGTCCTGAGGCTCCAGCCTCACTATAGCCAAAACAACCAAGCATCCTTAGTCCGTTCAGGGTGAAGGAATATAAGAGGGAGGTATCAAATCCAAAGTTCCCCATATGCTTTTAGGATGCCACTGACTCTGATGTATCAATCTGGAGCTGATGGTAAAACAGCCCTAGGAGGACACAGGAATGCCTTTGCCTCCCGGGAAATGGTTGGAGTTATGAGGAACCCCAGTAGTACCTTAGAGTTTCCACAGGGTGATGTATGTCCCCAGATTTTGAGGCCTCAGGTTGTGTCTGCCCAAATAAACAGGAGTGGGAATAGGGAGGAGGGTTATCCCAAGGAAGCCCGAGCCTGCCCATCCATGGGGCTGACAGGACAGCAACGGCTCTGAGCAGGGAGTTTCCACAGTGAGATTGTACCTCAGACAACTACCATCCTCATAACAAGGGCACTAAGAACAGCATCCCTGTGTCCCAGGAAAGGGCCTGACAAGCTGAAGCCTTCCTTCAAGGGCAGAAGCCCCACCACAGCTGGCGATCTTGGGCTGGGCCTGGGATGCAGTCAGGCTGGCCATTCTGCTTTGGAAGCTTGGAGCTGACCTAGTCCCTCGCCAAGATGGCTGTGGGAGGGCTGGGGTGCCCCACCCTGATGCCGCCTCATCAAAAATATTCAGCCCTAGGAAACTCTAGCCAGGTGAGATATGGGCAGCAGCCAGCCTGCTGGCCCAGAGGTCCAAGGCAGAAGAGTTGGGCCTCCCCATCGTCCGAGTCCTGAGGTCCTATGCAGTTGTGGTCCCACCTGACATCGTAGGCATTGGACCTGCCTATGCCATTCCTGCAGCTTTGCAAAAGGCAGGTAAGATGTTGCCATCATTTTTTTAAGACCTGGATCCCCCTCCTGCCTTGCACATGGGATTTGGGGAAGCACTGGAGATGGCCCTGTGGGTGTTTCAAAGTGAAGGTGGGGTAGACCAGCACCCCAATCCCAGCCTGGGGCAGGCCAGCACACTAAAGAATCCCACAGCCTTCATGACCCCACAGCTGGAACAGTTACCCTTCCACAGGAGACAGACATCTATAGGGCATGTATAGGCTTTGGCATGGGTTGGGGCCCAGGGAGACCCAGAGTCTTGCCCAGGGTCCACTATCAGCTAAGGTCCATAATTTGCTTGCAGAGCTGATAGTTAATAACATGGACATCTTTGAAATCATGAGTTCTTTGCAAATCAGCTGAGCCTTTGTCCTTCCCCTTACCTGGCCCTTGGCACTGTAGAGGGAGCAACCGAGCAAGTGGTACAAGAAGCTGGACAGAGGCTCCAACTGCTACGCTGGCTCCTTCCTGGCCGCCTACTGAACGGAGAAGCTGGGTATCTCCCCTGAGAAGTTGAGCCCTTAGGGGTGGTCCAGTGGCACTGAGCCACACAAGGACACGATGGGTTATCAAACTACTCGGCCAGATCCAGAGTCATAGAAAGAGGTAACTCTACACCTTATCGTGTGTCAGGTGTCGCCTGGCTTCTGGGCAGTTCGGGATTGGAGAAGTAAACACCCACACATAATAGGTACTCTGAACTTTAGGAGTGTGATCTGCATTTTCCCTGAGGTCTAGCCTGGAGAGCAACCCTGGCTGCAGAAGGAATCTGCTACCTTGAGTGTGTGCCTAAGGGGACCCTGAGAGACCATTTTCCCACAGATCTTGTCTGCTGGTTTTATATCCTCTGTGTCCAGGAGGGTCTTGGTCCATGCGGAGTAGCCTGGTCAGGGGAGTGGTGGTTGGGCCTGTGCCCAGCATGCCTCTAGCAAGCCACCAGTTTCACTTCCACAGGGCATATGGAGGGGTGTCCATGAGCATCAAGACTGGAATAGGAGCCACTGTCATCTCTGAGTACCCTGGGAACTGAGGCCCTGGTTTGAAGAGCTATCCAATCCTCCTCTGGTTGCCAGAGAGGGACACTAAAGAAGGAAATGCACACTGCACATTCAGCAAATCAAGGCACCGCATCCAATTTGGAAAATGTGAACACTGACAACACCATAAAGGAGTGAGTGGGGATGCTGTGGGCCTAGCTAGGGCAAAGTCAGCCTGTAACTCTCAGAGGAGGTGGTTTTGTGGATGAGCGGTGCAGTGGAATAAATGTCTGTGCTCTAGGCTTGGTGGGGTTTTTTTCCAAGGTCCAGATCTCGTCTTGTTGGTCTTCTCTGTGCTCTGAGTAGTGATTCTTAACTGCCACAGTCTTCGTGGTGGTGAGGACTCTCCTTTGTGTTAACTGTGGGACATATGATTCAAGCTTTGGCTGAGATCTCTGGCCTGGAAGAGGGCTCCTCCCTCCCAGGAGCTGTTCAGAAGCCCCCAGTCTGTGGGGTGACCCAGCAGAGTGCTCCTCAGTCCTGGGCCATTTTTAGTCCCTCACCTGGGGCTGAGGGGTGAGCAGAGCCTCAGGGCTAGTGAGGTGCTGCGTATCTCTCATCATAAGAGCCTTGGCCCCACAGCCTCAGGGTGCAGGCCTTCTCACCAAGCATGCCTTCTACCACCAGTGTGGACTCGTACAGCTCGGTGCTCCTGTGGCAGCAGGTAGGGCTAAGGTCAGGAGGGCCCTGGGCAGGGGCCCCCAAGCTTTGGTCAGTCTTGGGGAGTCTGGGAGAGGTCGTACCTGGGAGTGAAGAACACTTTCAGGGTGATGGAGGTTGGAGGAGCATTGGTGGGTCGGGCTTTCAGCAGCCCACTGCTTGGGGAGACCCCAAAGGCCTTTGCCTTCTTGTCCGTCTCCTGCTGTGCTGCATCAAGAGGAAAGGAGGACACACACAGGCTTCTTGTACTGTCTGGGAAGACTCCGTGTGCCCCCAGGCCTGCCCTGCCTCTCAGGTGTCACCTCTGGTCTTGCCAGGACCACAGAGCAGGGCAACCCAGGTACCGCTTGGCATTGGTAACTGGCCGTCTGTGCAGGAATGACAGGTAGTGCCAGCCCTTAGGTCCACCTGCTGTGGTACCGCTTGGCATTGGTAACTGGCCGTCTGTGCAGGAATGACAGGTAGTGCCAGCCCTTAGGTGCCCACCTGCTGGGAGTGGACACACAAGCCCCTTCCTGGGCGGCTTGGCACAGCCTCCATGATACAGTGAGCGGGCAGGTAGGAGGGCGCGACATACCCATCAGCACGGTCCAGTAGCTCTGGCAGCCACTCAGGTTCAGCAGGTTGACCTTCTGGGCCCGCTGCTGGTTCACAAAGCAGGTCCCAAAGTCCACCCAGCTGGTAGAGAGCTGCAGCTCAGGCACAGCCACGATGGCCTGCAAGGGCACCACCTAGGGGACAGAGCCTTTGACTTGGCAGGGGGTGGAGTGACACTGTCCACTGTGGCGGGGCTCTGAGCTGGGGACATTGAGACATGGGGAATCTTACTGGCCCCAGGGACCCAAGGCTGTAAGCTGAGCAGGGGGAAATCACAGAATAGCAGGTGGCAGAAGGCTGGCACTGCCAACAAAAGCTAGAGTATGACAGGCCAGAAGGAACCCTCCTCACCATGGAGCTCTGTGCTCAGCTCTCCTGTAGGTCAGCCTCCCTCCTTCTGCACCCTTCCTTCCTCTTCCCTCCCAGGGGGTCTAAGACCCAGCCCTCAGCTCCTTGGGCCCTGGGCCATCTTGCCCTTGCGCTGGCCCTCAGGCCCCCATCCCATGCCCTACTCTAGCTCTGGCAGTCCCAGAAGCTCCCATGGGCACTGTGATGCAGAGCCTCCTCCCCCAAGCCCCAGGAGCTGCCAGACTCAGGACTGCAGTGCCCTGTCTCCCTTGCTCTACCTCTGGGAATCTCCCCCAGGCCATTTCTTCACACCCCTCACTAGTATTGCCAGGTGGGTTCCAGCCCACCTTGGCTGCATAATGCTTACCATGATCTTGTGGCCTGCAGAGCGCAACCTGGTGCTCACACCTGCCTCAGGTATTCACTGACCCCCAGCCCCAGCCCCAGGCCATTCCCTCAGCCTAGACCTACTGAAGTGGTTTTTCCTCTCCCTTGATTACTCAATACACAGGCTTCACCTGCCACCTCCTTTGGGGAGGCTTCCTGGATCACCTGCCCTCCAGCTCTTCATTTTTCTCTGCAACAGGTATTGTGACCTGTATCTAGATGTCCCCCAAAACCTCATGAGGTCATAGGGATTTTCAGAGGTGGCTGGATCTAGGCTGTGTCATGCTTGGATCAAGGATGTGATACTGGGATTGATTCATGGTGCAATGCTAAGATAAAGGGTGTGAGTGTTACCCGCCTTAAGGGCAGAGAGCCTGGATAAAATATGAGACAGAAATGTCTTATAGCTTGCTGCTTATGCCTTGATGCCTTCTGCCTTCTGCCTGCTGTGAACTGATTCTCCTCTGTGATGCCACTCTGCTTTGGAGCCAGCCATCTATGAAATGAACCCTCTACACACTATGAGCCAAATACACCTTTCCTCCTTGAACTTTGGATATCTGTTATTTTGTCTTAGCAAGGGGAAAAGTAATTAAGACAATAGGTGAGGATGGATGACCCTCCTCCGTCAAAGCACAGGGCCTCTTCTAGAAAGACTGCACCCTGAGGGCAGGGGCCAGGTTCCTCTCCTTGGTATCTTCCATTCATCCTCAGCATGGAAGGGCCCACTCAGGTCCTTGAGGGCAGACTGGCACTTGCCTGAGTGGTCTGGTTGGTGAACTCCACAAGCAGATCCTGAGTGAACACCATCTTCTTATCTCCACTCAAGCTCTGCTGAATGTTCACCCTGGGCAGCATCTGGTCAGCTGGGAGCTTCTGATAGGAGAGCAGCTCCAGGGAGAGTGAGAAGGACACGTTCACCTGCCCAGAAGCAGACATTGCCAGCCATGCATCATCTCAGGCAGCTGTGTCCTGCTTCCCTCCCACTCAACCCTGCCCAGCACAGCCTGCAGGGCCCAGACTGGCCTGGCAGCACCCTCGCCTAGTAAGAATAAGCACTGCCCTGAACCTCATCTGGACAGGCACCTCATCCTGCAGCAGACAAGTACTGCCTGCCTTCAGGAATCAGGCTAGAGAGGAAAAAACAACAAACAAACAGCCCTTTTCCGGCTAGCATGATCAAGCTGAGGTTGGGCCTTCTAAGGCCAAGAAAGGACTGTGTCCTTATCCTGAGGACAGTGAAACCTATGATGGGTTTGAAGGAGGGGGCATCAGAGTTAGCATTGCCTTCCAGTGAGGAAGTAGGCTACAGAAGCCCAAGAGGGTTAAAGACAATAATCAGGAGGCCAAGACCAGAACTTAGGCCAGCCAGATAGGGTTGGGACTCCTGGCTCCCAAAGACTTCGTTGGTGTTAGCTCATCAAAATCAACTTATGAGTTTGTTAAAAATTGTATTACTGGGCCAGGGATTTAGCTCCATAGTTCCACTGTCTGCCTTGCAAGCACAAAGACCCAAGTTCGATCCCTGGTACAAAAAAAAAAAACATTGGATTCCTGGATCTCAGCCCAGACCTTATTTCTAGAACTGGGGCCTGAAAGCTTCCTGGTATTTGAAACAACTTTTCCAAAGGCCACTGATATATTGCCAGGCTTGGAGACCATTGCCCTAGACTAAAATATGGGTTTAGAGGTGAGAAGTGAGAAGTACTGAGAGAGAGAGTTCACAGAAGCATCCCTAGGACTCGGTGGCTGGTCGCTGAGAGAGCTATCTAGGATGAGGGGACCAGAGCTCTGACTTGGGCAGTTTGGTGTGTGGGGGTGGTATCTGCTGAGATAAAATGCCCCTACAGAGAGAAGGCATAAATATGGGGCAGGGCAGGGCCTCAAGGGCGATGGAGAATTCAGTTCTGCAGTCTAAGTTTGGATTAAGAACTGAGGGGAGAATTATCAGATGCCAGATCCCGTGCATTGCTGCACACACAGTGAGGTGCATCACCACAACATAATGACCTTGTTCTGGGAACCTCTGGGCTTCCCCAGAGCTGTCCAAGCATATACATATATTGAGTGAGGTGCTGGAGATCCTGGCTGCTAACCCCAGAGTCTCCTGGAAGACCTCTGGTGGAAGACATTGCTGGCTGTGCTCTGAACATTCCCCTCCATTTAGCTCTCTGAAGAGCCAAAGCAGAGTGGTCAAGGAGGCTCTCCTGCTGTCTGCTGTAGATCTATGCCCATCTGCCCTCCCTCTGTGAGGAGATCCTTGGAGAGTCCCATCAGCTGGCTGGTGGAGGCACTCACCACGTGGATAGTGAAGGACACATTTGAAAGAAAGAATGTGGCTGCTCACTGAGGCTCTGGAAGTGATGAGATGACCCAGGAATGTGCAGAGGGAGGCAAGAGCCCAGCTGGAGCTCTAGGGAGCATCAGCGGAAAGGGAAGGCTTCTGAGGAGAAGAGAAAGGGCCTCAGAGGCAGGAGGGGAGGTAAGAGAGAGGCTCGGGCCCACAGCCTGGCTGTTTGTCCTTGGCAAGCTGGTACCTACCCTGGCAGCCACTGTGAAGTTAGGGATGTACACACAGCAAACCCCACAAAGACTGAGTATCCTCTCCATTCCAGTGCTACAAGTTCATGGCTCACACTCACACCTTGGCATTCTCAGAACCCCACCCTCCACCTCTGACAATCCAAGTTCCTGTTATCATTGATGACTTGTCAGAAGAGGGGGGAATGCTCCTGGGACCCAGAAGTTCTCACATTTATAGCAGTGGTCCTGTCAGGGAACAACCCTTTGAATGAGGGCACATGAGAAGGGAGGGAGTCTGGGGACAAAGTGGAAGGGCTCACAGTGGCCTCTGCCTATCAGTAGAACACACAGAGAGGAGTCTGCCTGTGGTCCTGTAACACATGTGCCTGTAAGCACTAGGTCTGGTCCACATGTGAGTCGCTGCACAGAGGATCTGTGTGTGCTGGTGGTGTCTGGTGGGAGGGCACCCAGAGTAGGTTCATTCATGTGGACTGTACACATGTGAGTGTATGCATCACAGCAAGGGCCAGGGACCCCTCCACTAACCAGCATGTTCTCCTGTGGGTCCAGTACCAGCTGCTTGCTCACTGAGGCTGTCTCCTCTTCACCTTCCTGCTCCTGTCCAGAGCCAGGTCTGTGGTCCCAGGTAAATGCATCTTGAGAAATCAAGAAGGGCCTGGAGACCAAGAGCCGGAAGCACTGTGGGATTTCTGTGGTGTTGATCAGCTTCAGGTGTCGGGTGGTCAGCAGTTCACTAAGCACCTAGGCAGCCACAGAGATAAGGATGTGGGGGTCCATCCACCCCTTTCCTGAGGAGCTTACTCAGACTGCAAGGCCTGTGCCCCTGAAGGGTCTATGGGCACACATGAGGTCCAGGTAAACTGGCAGGTGGGGCAGCACACTCACCCCAGAGCAGGGCTGGTCAGGGATAAGGTCACTGGCCCGACACCAGAACTCCATGCTGCCGCTGTCATCCAGCTCCACACTCAGCCTGCCAGGCAACAGATACCACTAGGGCCACCAGGCATCCAGGGCCTCCTGGCCAATCCTTCTTTCCTCACCTGGCCTTTGGCTAGCCTTTCCCTGGGCCCCCTGCTGGCTCCTCTCCCTCTTGTTCCTGTCCCTAGTCTCTGAGAACTCTACCTTACTCCAATGGGGCATGGAGTGGGAGCCAACTCACTTCGCATGCCTCACATAACTATGCAGGTCCAGTCGCAGGGGTCCCACAGCAAAGTCCTGCAGCCGATGGCTCCTCCCTGGAATATCTCTTTCCTCCTACCAAGGCCAACACATCATAGATCACTGATGGTCCCTGGGCTGAGTGGGCAGTGTGCCATTCAGAGAGAAGCAGTGACCGTGCCCAACCCCGGCCAGGAGAGTTCACCTTGTTATCCAAGCTCATGAAGCCCAGGGCATAGCCAGTACATGCCACCTTGTGTAGAGTCTCAGGGCCAAGCACAATGGGTGTGAAGGAGATGTAGATGGTGCTGCTGCCCCCAGCAGGGACTACCTGGCACAGAAACAGCAGCCTCAGCACTGCCCTTTGCCCACTGGTGGGCCAGTGCAGACTCCATGAGGCCACTCCCAGCTCTGCCTGACTTACCATCTGCTTGGGGTTGACACTGAACAGGTGGTTGGCAGGCACCCCCTCATGCTCCTGCAGGATGACTGAGATGATGTGCTCTGCGGCCCTGTCACTGGCATTGGAATGGTCCTTAACCTGTTGCCAAGGTGTTACTGAGGGTCCAAGTCAGTGGGCCCGGTGGCCAGCTTGCCCACCCCTGCACCCCTGCTCACCAATGGGGTAGCTGCACGGCTGGACTCTGATACACTGGAGGGGCACAGGGGCCCGAGGAAGTTGTGCTTGGACATCTCGGGGCTCAAGAGCTCATTCCCGGCTTGGTCCCTCAGTGGGAAAGGTGGTCCATAAAACACCAGCAGCTCCACCAGCTTGTCCTCCCTGTCTTCTGGCATGTATGTCTCCCAGTCCAGACGGATGTCTGGGGCAGATGTGGGGGAGGAACAGGGAGGAGAGGAGGGTCTGCCCCAGCCTCCACCAATCTGTTTTCCCATATTCAGCACAGAGGGAGGGATTCACTGTCTAATGCCATCCCCAGGCAATTCTCATGTTTTACAGAACAGTCTTTGTAGGCCTGTGCCACCTGGCTTAATCATCTGAAGCCCTCATGATCATAAGACCAGGTTATCATGTCCACATGCTTGAACCCAGGGACTCCACCCTTTTCACAGCTTCCTGTCTCTCTGGCTGGTTCGCGGACAGCTGGCCCCAATTCCACACTCTCTACCCACCACTATCTACCAGCCCCTACTTGCTTTTACTTCCTTTCCCAGCCAAGATACTCACTGAGGGTCCAGCCTCAGCCTTGCTAGCAACTCATCTATCTCCCTTTTAATCCCCATCCTTCCACCCACCTGGCAAAGCCTAATCCTGGATGAACTGAACTACACCATCCTTCTGGCCACCACTGGAGGAATTCCTCCAAGCTAAACAGATGGCCACCCCATACATCTGTCCCCAACCTAAACTAGACCCTCACATTGCCCTCCCTCTCCGCCATGACAATGCCAAGCTATTCCTTCTCTCCTCGGACGCCTCCCTTTGCGTCCCTGATGCCCTGGGGTGGCCCCACCCCATCTCCCAGAAGTGCCTTGAAGTCCTGTCCCAAACTTACACATCTGTCTGCAGCTACCCTGTTTGCCTTTGCTGCCTTCAGCCTGGCTCATACCCTTCTTCTCTGGATCCAGTAACCCCTCTTTCCTTTATCACCAGCTTGAGCCCTGTCTAACTGCTTCCCAGCAGGACCAAAGCAAGTTGAGACCTCCCCCATCATAAATAAGCTTCCTACTCCAGCCCACCATTTAGTCAAAATCACCTGCCCCTTGTAGTCATCTCTTACCCACTCCCCAGGCAACATCCCTTTGATTGGATCTTACAGTGCCAGGGGCTGGGCTCGGCCCTCCACAATACCTGGTGGACACAAAACTCAATGCTCATGATCTCATGTTTTGTACGCTTAATACCTAGTGCCCACCTCTTACTAAGGTCTGCAATGACCACTGTATCCTGAAGTCCAGTGGACAATCTCACTTTCAATAAAGAGAAAGGAAGATGTATGTGACTATGAGCCCAAAGAACAGGAGGGACCTACTAAAGAGAAGGGAAGCAAAGAGAAAGTCCAAAGTAAACAGAAGGAAAACAGAATAAAATCACAGAAAAAGAATAAAGTACAAAAATTAACACTAAAGTACATTTTTAAATATGGAAGAAATATATGGATTGGCTGACTTTTCCCATAAAAACATAGAGAATGTCAGGTTGTATTTTTCAAAAACTAAGCTGTCTGTTTGTGGAAGAAGTTCAAGCCTGGCTGGGCCAGGTGCGCTGCACTCCTATCTTCTGAGAAAGCTCGAAGACTTCTCTGAGACTGAGCTAACTCACCTAAGTGCATAGAGGCTGGGTCTAACAGGCTGTACCTCCGCCCCTAGTCCAAGACTCCTTCGCCTCACCCAAGAAAAATCACCCCACCATATGTCTAGCCAATAAGATATCACTCAATATTCTCCACTAATGTACAGATCTGCATAACCTATAAGAAAGTGCCATGTAAGTAAATGCTCCTCCCATGCTCCTCCCCCATGGTTGTCCACACATAAGCTATATAAGCCTGTGCATTTCCTAAATAAAGCAGAAGCATTCCAGAAACCTCCCCGGAGTCTGCCTGGTGATTCTGCGCCTTACCCTCCCAGTCCGAGCTCCCAAACTGAACTCTGCAGACCAAACAGCAGACCACAACATCTGTTGTCAATCCAAAACACACATGAAAATCATCATAAAGATTGAAAATAGAAGGGTGGGCAAGGAGATACCAGGTGAACACCCATAAGACATCAAATGTAGCACTGTTAATATAAGACAAATGTGGATTTAAGGGCAGCAGCACTTAAGGGACCAAAAGTGAATGATGTGGGATGACTGAAGACTCAATTAGTGAAAAGATTCAATGTTCAAATGCATTTCTAACAATAGACTAGCTAAAAACATAAGGCAAAATGACCAGAAATGCAAGAAGAAACTGATATTTTAAAATATAATTTGAGAGTAGAATGCAACACCCTTTCAAAACTACACATATCTTGTAGCCAATAATGAGGTGTCATCAAGCAGTGGTTATTTGCCATGGCTGCATCTTCCTTAGACTCATCCAAGGAACTTAAAAATGATAGCACCAGGCCCTGACCCTCTTAGCTCTCAACACTGAGTCCCAGCCTCAAAATGCCTTAAATGCTCCCCAGGGAACTCTGCAGTGGCCAGGCTGATTACCCACCTCCCTCAGTCTCTGAGCTGTTTGTAGCTCTGCCTGTGGCCCAGAGTAGCTCTTCCAGGTCATGCTGGCTTCCCTTTCCGCCCAGGCTCTGCCTCTATACACCTTCTCAGGGCAGTGTGGCCCCTCGATTCATCCCCAGCATGTTGGCTTCCCACACAGTCAAATTCAATACCCTCAATGCACCACAGTCAGGACAGAAGCCCTAGGCAGTGACCACTGTTCTGCTCCCTGTGTATCCCGAGCCCCTTCACAGCACACTCAGTGTCTACTCAGGTCCTGTTGGCTAAAGTAATACAAAAAGTTCTCTAGAAATACCATCCCTAGGTACAGTGACCTTGATGACAGCAAAACTGTGTGGTCCCACAGACTCTGGGAGACTCATGGCTGGGCAAGTTTGAGTCCTGTCCTCAAGAATTTTCTGACAACCCTGGAATGGCATATTCACCCCCTAACCTTGACCCTCATGAGACCCCCTTAGTAGCCACAGGCCACCTGGACTCCTAGTCCTGCTCCAGCCATCAGCTTCTCCCAGCACCATCTTCCCCCACCACTAGGCTCCTCACCCCACTTTATCTTGTGAGCATCTCACCACAGGGGCTGGAGTTATACAGGCAAAGAGTCCGGCTGATTGTGTCTCCTCCAGAGATATGGGTACCCAACCTGAGGCAGGAGACCAGATTCAGCACATATCTACAGGCAGAGGCACTTCAGAGAAGAGCACTGCATGGGGGCTCAGGCTGAAGGAGGTCCACAGTGGTCCCACAGTGGTCTGTGCTCACCCTGGCAACACAGAGCCCCATGGCTAGAGAACCTCCCCACGTGTCATCTGATAGACTGGGGCCTGGGCCTTCTCACTGCCACAGCAATCCTCCCCATTTCCAAAACTATGCCAGATGGCTTCCAGTTCTGGTATAAACTTCAGGCCACATTGACTACTCACTAATGTGCACCACAACCCAAGCCCTCAGAGAGGCTCAGATGTCAGTCATGTCCTGGAACCTAGTTGTAGGTGGCACCAGGTGGCTCTGAGCCAGCTAGAGAGCAACCAGGTGGCCTGCACAGCCTAGACCAGATACCACAGGGTTTCAGGGGCCATCAGAGAACAAAGGATGAGGTAAAGGGTGGGTACCTGATGATAGGCTCCTTCTGAAAGCAGTCAGTGGTGTAGTAGGTGGGCCTCAGGGAGCTGATGGGGCAGCCCACTGCTGCCATGTGCACTGGTATGGTTGTTGGTGGCAGGTTTCCTACCTGCAAACACACACAGCCCTCTGTCACCTTTACCAGCTGCCGTTGCATTTCTCCCAGGCAAGGCATTTGCTTGCCCAGCCAGCCCACAGACTTGGTCCCCGCTGGGCTCAGCCCCACTCTCACCGTCAGATTCCCGCCCTTCATAACCTCTTGGATCACATATCTGTATCTTTTCCATGTAAATAATTTTATAATTTTCTCTAGTAATTAAAAGTAATAACTACTTGTTTTTAGAAAAAAAGGGGGATATTGCTTATAATTCCACCCTTGTTACCATTTTTGTGTGCACTTATCCACCCTTCGTGTTGGTAAGACATAGGTATAAACGGGAAGCAGACCAGACATTCTTTTAGTAGCCTTCTCTTCTAACAGTTTAGATAATTTTACTTACAAGAGTTTAAAGCATCATGGGATGGGCTTTACGGAATTCCCTTGTGGAGATGTAGTTCAGTGGTGTGATCTACTCTTTCCCTGATGGCATGAGTCATTAAGCTGCCGCCCACCCCAATGTAAGCAATTCTAAGAAGAAAAGGCAACCTAGTATGAAGCAGTTGATACACTAAGTTACTTCTCTCTACAGGAACACCCGAAATGTGTATCCAGCACACTTCCAAAGGGCTTCCAAGGACTGGTGGGTGCATAGCACCTCTTTATCTTAGCTCAGAAGTACTTTCCCCCCTGCACCCTCACCAACACATTTTAAACCTTGCTAATCAGACAAAACCAATATTTCATAGTTAGTTTGCATTTCTTCAATTACTGGTGATGGTGACATATTTTCATATGTTTTGGCCATCTGGATATATCTTTCTTTGAAATGCCTATTCAAACCCTTTGCCCACTGGAATGCCTTCTTTGCTCTTACTGTTATTTAAATACAGTAACTCTTTGAGGATTAATATAAATAACCACTTGTAATACACAATACAATTAAAGCAAATGTCTACTATTACCAAATAGTTCATGAAAATCTTCTGTGGAACAGCTAAACAATGTAGGACAATATAAGCATGTTTCATCTCTCAATAGTAAACTCAGAGCTCCTTGCTGGCACCATTTTCTATCTAATTCATCTTTCTATGCCCCTCGGTATCTGCATGGGAACCCAAACACAGTTAGGGGCTCCATGTTTGCTGAGTAACAGAATGAATGAATGGACCACTGGGTAAATCAATGAAAGCACAGAGGGCTAGGCAAAGGCATGACACAGAGAGGCTGTTATTATCCCTCTACTCCTTACTTCCCTTTCCAAGACTCAGGTCTCGACCTAGCCAAGCAACCTTCTGGTTCATGTGTCCTCCCTGGGATCCTAGCCTTGAATCTCATAGGAAAAGATACAGAAAACTCTACTGTTCATAGTGATCTGTCCTACCTAAACCATGTCAGCCTCAATCAATCCCAGAGGTTGTAGCAGCTATGAATGCCCATCCCACACTGGGCATCACCTTGCAACTTAGTGAGCTTTGTAGGGCTGAGAGTTGAGTGTTGGAAGAGAGGAAGTCCAAAGGTGCATGCCCACCTGTGTTCCCTTACCGTACAGATTAGGTTGTCCCAGTACTCGCCCCACATGTTGGCACAACCTGTGATTTCAATGCTCAGCTTCTGGTAGGCCCTCAGCATGCCCTGGGAAATATGGGAGAAGAAAGCAGCTCCTTTCCCATGAGACAACATGTTTTCCATAAAATCTGAGGAAGAATCAAGAATGGTGATTTAGGGCCCTGGATTTGAAAGTAAAGTCCAAACCATCACATATAAGCAAAGTAGTATCCCAAGTAAGCCACTCTACACCCTTGCTCTCCTTGGTCAGGATGCTGATTCAGGGGTCAGCTGCCCAGTGCCCCAAAATGTCTTACCTCCTGACAGGTGAGGTCCCAGTGGGAGCCGTCCCTTATTATCTACTACCTAGCCCAAATCAAATCCAGGTCCTGTACATGAAACTATGTCCTAGCAGGAAAATGACTTCATTCAAGAAAAGTGGACTGTTATATGGAAAGCCATGGCCATTATTATGGTTTGGATCAAAAATGTCCCATCAAAGGTTCATATGTCCAGAGATTATTATGGTTTGAGTCTAGATGCCCCCCCCCCGGCAGAGCCTCATGCAGTCATAGGTGGGTGAATCTAGAGTGTGTGCTACTAGTTTTAAGGACGTGTGATTACTAAACCACTACATGTGAGTGATTGGTTTGGCACCGCCCTAATCCCAGTAGTCTGAATAAGATAAAAAGGAGCAGAAAGACACTATTAAGGTCCCTTGTTGCTTTGCTACCTTGTGTGTGCCATGTTGTCTCTCCTCTGCTATGCCTGTTTGCCATCTACCCTGCCTTGGAGCCAGCTGACTATGGACTGAAACCTCTAAGAACTGTGAGCTATATAAACCCTTTGCCCTTTACCCATTACCCTTTAGCCTTTGGTGTGAGGTATTTTGCCTCAGCAACAAGAAAAATAACTAACACAGAGGTAGATCTTTTGAAAGGTGAATAGGTCACAGGGACACTAATCTCATCAGTGGATTAAGCCATTAATGAGTTCATACCTATATGTGTGTTAGAAGGTAGGGCCTGGTTAGAGGAAGTAAGCTACCAGGGGCATAACCTAGAAGGGTATATTCTTATCCCTGGCCCCTTTTCTCTCTCTGGATCTGTTGAACTCACTCTGTTTCCTGGTTACCATGATATTAGCAGCTTTCCTCTGCCCTGCCCTTCTACCAAATTTTTTGCCTTGAAGTCAGCTGATCATGGACTGAAACCATTAGCCCAAACAAACCTTTTGTCCTTTACGTTGTATATGTCAGATTTTTTGTTCTAGTGATTAAAAAAAAATGGCTAATACACAAAATTGGTACCAGACAAAGGAGTTTTTTGCTGTGACTGCACCTAACCACATGATTCAGAAACCTTTGGAAGTGGGTTTTCAAGAAGAATTTGGAAACACTTGGAGATGCAGGCTGGTAAGCCCTAGAATTCTGTGAGCAAAGCATGATGAGTGACTCTGGTTGAAGCTCAGAAGAGCACCATGCTGATAGGAATGCACACAATGAAAATTGTTCATGAGGTTTCAGATGAGAATAAAAACTCTGTTAGGAATTGGATTAAAGGTCATACATGCTACATTCTGGCAAAGAACTTACCTACATTTTTTTCATGTCATGATATTTCATAGGACACTCGACTTAAAGGTGAAGTTTCAAGACAGCCCAACATTCAGGGTGTGATGGGGCTATTGTTGGATTTTTTAACCAGACTCACAATGAGAATCATAAGCAAAAAGCAGAGTCAAAAGATCTGAGAAACTTGTTTGACCAGAAAAGACGTATATGTAAAGTTGGGGCCAAAGAAGGAGTGTTTGCTTAAGAGACTAGTGCCATTAAAAAGATACCAGATATTTTGCACTAGGATACTAGGAAAGATGCATTGAAGGCATCTCAGGAATTGGCCAGACCCAATCTATCGTGGGCTTAAGGGTGGAAAATTATAAATTATTTTGAAGGATTTTGCTTTGAGAAAAGAGCCCCAGAGCATTCTTGGCATTGGGGGCCAGAAGGAAAGTGTTTCCCCAACTTCAGCAAACCAGGCACTCTGAAACTACTGCAGCCATGGTCCAAGGGGACCTAGCTACTGCTGAAGCTGGTGGCAGACTTTGGCATTGTCTGCATATGCTGGTTTTGTAGGCATGGAGAATGCAAGAGTTATGAGATCACAGACAATGCTACCCACTTTTCAAAAGAAGGCCTAGGAGGGCACAAATAATCAACAACTGGGATCTCATCTTATTAAAAAGCTTCTGTACTGCAAGAGTAACCACCAACAGAGCTAAAAGACAACCTAAAATGTGGGAAAAATTTTTTTACCAGATGTTCCTCAGATAAAGGTCTACTATCTACAATATATAAAGAAGTCAAAAAGAGGCAAAAGGAGCAAATAAACATATGAAAAAATGTTTAACATCACTGGTCATTTGAGAGATGCAGATGAAAACAACACTGAGATTCCACCTCACCCCACAAAGAATGGCTGCTATCAAGAAATCAACCTATAACTAATGCTGGTGGGGTTTGTGGGAGAAAGGAACCCTTCTCCGTTGTTGGTGGGAGTGCAAACTGATGCAACTACTGTGGGAATCAATATGGAGATACCTCAAAAAACTAGGATTAGAGGTCCCATTTCACCCAGCTATTTTTCTGGGGGGTATCTTCCCAAAAGAATTAAAAGAATCAGACCATAGTGATATATGCTCCCCCATGTTTATAGTGGCACAGTTTGTAATAGCTAAAGCTTAGAAACAGTCCAATTGTCCATCATCTGGAGACTGGATAAAGAAGATGTGGTTTTTTTCATAAAATGAAATACTACTCAGCCATAAAGAATAAGAAACTAGAGACATGTGGACCTAAATGGATGCACATTGAGGCCATACTCTTGAGTGAAATAAATAGGACACACAGTAAATACCAAATAGTTTCTCTGATGTGATTAACTGAAAGTGTAAATAAGGATCAAAATGCATAATTGTTAATGTGAAATAGGAAGAAAAAGTCTAAAGGGGAAGGGGCAGTGGGAAGGTTTGGTGAAAGAAAAGAATGGAAAGGAAAAAAAACGAGAAAAGGAAAAAATGGAAACAAAGTCTTTGTAAATAGGAAAGGATGGAGGGGTTGAAGGGAGGGCAGGAGAACGGGGAAAAAATAAGAACCAAGATACATCATATAAAGGTACAAGATCCCAATGATGAATATAACTGTATCATACACATAAAATGCACCAATAAATGTAATGAAAGTTAAAAAAAGAAAAAGAAGGCCTAGAAGGCCAGGCACTGTTGTCACAGTCCCTAAAGGAGCCCCTGAGATGGCAACTGTGAAGCTGTGGGAGTGAGGCCAAAGCTGCAATAACACCCTTACCTGGTCCTATTTCTTCTAGTCTCATTCCTTCCCTTAGGAATGGGAACATCTACCCATTTCAGTGTGCCATTGTATCTTGAAAGTGTAATTTGCTTTTCACAGGGGCTTACAAGAGTTTACCTGGAGTCTCACAGGTTACTTTGGATTTGGACCTTTGAGCGATGCTGGAATTGTTGAGATCTCAGCAACTCTTAGAAATAAATTAAATGCTCTTTGTATTGTGATATGAGCTTTGGGGGACGAGGGGCAGAATGCTACAGTTGCAATGAAAAATGACCTCAAAGGCCTCATGTGTTTAGAGGTGGGAATTTTGGAAAGTCATTAGGTCATAGGAGTGCCAACCTCATCAACAGATTAACCCATTAGAGCCAGGCGTGGTGGCACATACCTGGAATCCCAGCACTCAGGAGGCTGAGGCAGGAGGATTGCTGTGAGTTTGAGACCAGCCTGGGCTACATAGTGAGTTCCAGGTCAGTCTCAACTACATAGTGAAACCCTGTCTCAAAACACCAAAACAAAAAACAAAAAAAAACCAGATTAACCCACTGATAAGTTCATCACTCGGGGTGTTATTGGGAGGTGGGGTCTGGTTGTAGGAAGATCACTGAGAGACTACCAAAAGTATACATTCTCAAACCTAGCCCCTTTCCTCTCTCTCTGGCTCTTTTGCTCTGTCTCTGCTTCCTAGCTACCATGAGGTAAGCAACCTTCCTCCACCTGCACTTTCATTACGGTGCTTCTGCCTTGAAGCCGGCTGATGGGGGACTGAAATAAACCAAAACTAATCTTCCTTTAAGTTGCTTTTCCCAGGTATTTGGTTACAATGACAGAAAGCTGACTAACACAGCCATTTTGGGGGTCACACTGGGAGAGACATGGGAGGGGTTCTCTAGTCTCAGTCCCCCACCTGGTAACTACTGTCCCATATCCTCAAATGATCATGCAAACCCCAGCTCTGGCCATGTTTCTTACCTAGCTGCTCTCGCTTGGCCAAGTGCTCTTGCATCCGTGCTGTCTTTAGCAGGGCAGGAGGCAAGTCAGACCTTTACAAATGGAGACAAAAATGTAGCCAGACCTATCCCAAGACAAGAGCTACATCCCGTGGTACCCATTAGAAGATTGTCCTCCCTGCTCTTTCCAGGGCAGAGCCTGTTCTCTCTGGCTTTTTTTGTTTTGTTTTGTTTTGTTTTGTGTTTTCACCTCCCTCTCTGGTCTTTATCTTCGCTGTTCCCCTGCTGCCCAAAGCATCCCCAGCTGCAGACCATCCCCAAAGTTGCAGGGTTCATCTCCTAAAAAATTCAAGAGGGCTCTGAGGTAGGGATTCCCTGTCCCAGACTCTGTGCCCTATCGACTGATGCAAACTCAGCCTATGCCCCTCTCTTCCCCAGACTTCTGCAACAGGCCCACTTCCATCCTGTCTTGCTGGAGGCTTCTCAAAAAACTAAAAATAGAAATTCCATCCAACTTAGATATTCTCCTTCTAGGTATCTTCCCAAAAGAGTTAAAGACATCATACTGTAGCAATATATGCATACCAGTGTTTATAGCAGCACAATTCATAATGACTCAATCCTAGAAGAATCCTGTGTGTCCATCAACAAATGCATAAAGCAAAGGCAGTGTCTCTATATCATGGAATACTACTTGGCTCTAAAGAAGGATAAATTCAAAACATTTGTAGGAAAACGGATACACTTTCAGAATATAATGTTAAGTAAAATAAATCAAACACACAGATTTAAATATTGTATGGTTCCTCTTATATGAGAAAGCCAAAGTACAAATAAAGTAAAGCACAAAATGAAACAAATGACTGATAAAAGGAAAGAGGGAGATAGATCTTTAGCAAGTAGGAAGGGAACCAAGAGACTAAGGGGAGAAGGGAAGGGGAATATAAAAAGACTTGAGATGCAACATGTACATGTTCCAACTACCCACAATGAATTTAATCATTATATGTCCCAAACATGAATTTAATAATAACATGAATTTAATAATAATATTATTAAACATGAATTTAATAATAATGAATTTCTTCATGAATAATAATGAATTTATTAATAACAACAATAATAATGAAAATTGGGAAAGGATCGAGAGACAGAGGGAGGTGGGGAGGTAAAAGGAAATAAAAAGAATCTAGATATGCTAAGTACATGTGCTTACTCCCTATGATGAATGGAAACATCATGTACTACAAACGTGCTGATAAAAACATTTTTAAATAAATAAATAAATTACAGTTTTGGGCCAATTTTATCCTGCCTAATTTTAATTTACAGCCTTGCAGAAATGCCTGAAATATTTACACATTGGATCTCCTGAACAAGTAGTAGCTGGTTCTGTCACACCAGTCTGCACGCGCACGCACATGTGTGTGTACGTGTGCATGTGTGTGAAGTTCCAGGTCTTGCCTCTGCCTTTGGCCATAGCAGCTCAGAGCCAGAGACCTCTGTTTCAGCTGTCGGACATCTCTTCCTCTCCTCACCTCCCCACATCAGCCCAGGCACATGATCCAACCTCCCTGGCCCCCTCCCTGTTCCTGACTTCTCACCCCACACTCTGCCCACTGCTCCCTCTGTCACAGTCACTTCTTCACCCAAGAAGGCATCAGCAAGCCAAGGTGAGGAGAAGGGGCCAAAACCCCAGCTTCTCCCACAGAGTGTGAGAGGAGGGCAGCAAGGCAGCAGAGCCATCTCTTTTCTGCATTTCCCACATCTACCTCACAGATATCCTCTCTCACACCAACCTCTCCGGCCACCTAAGCCACCAAGAGGCTCAACAGGGTAAACCCCACCTGGCCACCTCTGCCCTGGGAAGGACCTTGGAAGGAAACAAGACTCACAAGCTTGTCCTTTTGCTCAGGCTGTCCTGGGGGCTCCCAAAGTACTCAAACTTGAGGGCGAAAGGGGTCTTTATTGGTGAGAGATTAGTCAGGATGAGCTGGCGATTCACACAGGTCCTCAGTGGCACCATTGAGCCAAAATCCAGATGGAGCTTCTCTGGGTGGCCTGGCCACAGCTTTGTGCTGCAAACACTGTCCCACGCCAATGGGTCTTGAGTTACTCACCATCCTGGGACTTACCAGAGAGCCACCCTAGGCAGGGGTTCCCAGAAACCTGGTCACATCTTCAATTTCCCCTCCACAGGGCTGCCCACTCTTCCTATCTGCCCACCATGCCCCGAGAGGCCTCAAACTCTACACAAACTGTCCCTGCAGGCAGACTGGCATGTCTCCCAGTTGCAGATTGCATTCATAGCCCACAGCCCTGTTGGCTACCATCTACCTTGACACCAGGCCTCCTAGTGTGTATAGAAAGGATGCACACGGGGCAGGGGAGAGTAGACGCGATCTGCTCCTGCAGAAGTGCTGAGGGCCTGGAACAACTCTGTGGCCTTCCCCCAGCTGCAGGAATTGGCTGAGAGTAAACAGGTCACACAGGCTAACACTGGTCCTTTGTGTGGCTGTCCCTGCCCTGGGCTCACCTGCCATCAGAACCCTTCTCAGAGATGGCAATGGTCACTTGCAGTCCCCGAGGCTTCCCAGAGATGCCCAGGGCCAGTGGCTTCTTCATGCCTGACACGTGACAAGGGAGGGCCAGATCGGTCAGCTCGTCCTATGAGAAAGCCCACCCAAGGATGAGACACAGGCTTGGCCTCAGGAGATGGGCCCAGACAGCCGAGTGGCTCAACATGAAGGCCTTGCCTTCTCTCCAGTGTGGTCTCTGAGAAAGGGCCTCCAGTGAGCCGGCCTCTTGACTGATACCCTACTCCCAACAGGCCTCGTTCCTTCCCAGGCTCTATGGCTGTCTGAGTCTGCCCCAGACATGCCTGCATGAAAGAAGGCCTCAGAAAGCAACCCTGGAGAGGAGCACGTTGTCTCTGATGAGCTGCTACTATACACACCAAACCCTTTCTGAGTGGGGTCCATTCCACATCAGGCCTGGGACCATCTGCCTGACATCCGAGAACTCGGAGTCAGCTGTGTAAGAAGATTCACTGGCTCCATGTTTGCCATGGAGGAAATGTGTCTGTAAGTATCTGCAAGAAAGAAGTTTCTCCTCCCTGAAGAACCACCCAAGTACTAAGCAAGTTCTGCCCTGATGGCTTCCCTCCAGGCCACTCCACAGAACAGCTACAACTCTCCTGGGAGGACGCTGGCCATCAGTTAGTGTCCCTGAGTCACACCCAGCACAGTGCCTGCCTCAGCAGCAGCTCTGCCCTGGATTTCTGGGCAAAACTGAAAGTCTGGGCCCCCAGTGGCTACTGAGAATGTCCTGAAGAAGGCTAAAGCATCTCAAGGCATATCCAGACTGGCTCTAGTCTCTCTGACCATTTATCCTTAGAGAGTAAAGGATCGTAGTCCTATTTTCAGGGTATCCCTTCCCCAACTACAAGCACCTGGAGTAAAGTCTGAGCTAGGAGACCCTGGAGACACAGGTGCAACCCACTGGCAGGATGCCTTCCCAGTCTCTGGGGCTCCACGTGGCCTAACTCACCTGAGTATGAGCGGTGAACTCCAAGATGAGCTGGCGCTCTTCACTAGGACCCAGCAGGCCACGTCTAGGGGAGACTGTCACTGTGCAGAAAGCTGCTTGGTTCCCCAGGAGCTGGTAGACACAGGGGTGAAGCTGTTGTGTCCTGCAGGGCTGCCAGAATGGACCAGGACCCAGACAGAGTGCTCGTTGGAGGCTGGCAGACTAGCAGCAACGGCAGGACACAGGACTGGGAGCTCACTTCTAGCATAAACCACAGGTCCCTTCTCTCCTCCCATCCCGGGTGGACTTCACCACCTGTCAGGGCATTGGCTGGACTCAATAAGCTGCCCTGAGACCGAGAGACCCAGAGTGATGGGAGCAGTGGGCAGCCGCTGCTGGTGCACACAGATGTGGCCTCGTCTCCCACAGCACTGAGAGTAAGTTCCACAGGGGCAGTGCCATGACTGAGCCACAGACTGTGCTGTGTGGAGGCCCTAGCTGTGCTCATGAGAAACTCCTTCATGGGCAGGGAACTGGGATTCTCTAAACACAGGGCCACGAAAAGCCAGGCCAGTTGTGCTGCTCCTCTGTGGAGCCCAGCTTTTCTGGGCACCGTGGAGGGAGGCACTGGCTGTGGGACAGAGGCTGAACACCGCTCCTGCCCACCCTGAAGGGGCCACATGGGCCCGTGTTGCTGAGGGCCGCCGTCCGCTGCCCAGCAGTGCGGGCTCCTCACATTGCCCCAGTGGAACCGGGTGGGGAGGAGTGTGCTGTTGGCGAGCGTGACGGTGGACTTCGTGGGCACATCCGGGTAGAGGCTGCTGAGCTCCAGCTGGCTGCTCTGCAGGTACACATGCGGCTCCTGTATCTCAGCATACATGGCCAGGTAGCTAGAACACAAGCAAATAAAAGGCAAACTGATCAGAAAGGAAGAAACAAAACTGTCCCTCATGTGATGACAGTGTCATCCTGAAGAATCTATATTTTCTTAAAAAACTCCTAGAACTAATCCAGGGTATAGGGTCAACACATAAATTCAACATTTTTATACGCTAACAGTGAACATATGGAAATAAATGTAAAACACAACCCCATCTATAATTGCTCAAAATTGAAAAAGGTACAAGAGAAATTGTATGGAGAACACTGTGGGCCTATTTCAGAATGGTGACTAACCCTCCTGTTCCAGCTAGGCTGGACTGTCAAACTGATCAGCTTGAGAGTGGGTGTCTGGTAGGGTCTGGGGACTATATCTGTGCTCTGTCCTCCTCCTTTCTGACACTGTCCCCCTGCTCTGCTTCCCAGCTGTCAAGATACGAGTGGCTTTCCCCTGCCTTGATCGTCCACCATGATTTTCCTGCCTTGGAGCCAGCCAATCATGGAAAGAAATCTCTGAAAGTGTGAGTCTGATCAACACAGTCTTTGAAACATTAGCCAGAGCAATCAGGCAAGAGAAAGAAGTAAAAGGATATGCATAGGAAAGGAAGAAATCAAATTATCATTATTGTAGACGACATGACCCTTTACATAGAAGGCCCAACAAATTCTATCAAAAGACTCCCAGAATAGCTAAATTCCACAAGGACACAAGATACAAAATCAACACACAAAAATCAATAGCATTCCTGTACATCAATAATGAACTCACTGAGAAAGAAATTGGGAAAACAGTTCACACTAGCACTAAGAAAAATTAAACATTTAGGAATTAATTATATATACTATCTTGTTCCTGAATAGGTAGACCTAACATAGTCAAAATAGCCACATTTACAAAGCTGATATAGAGACAAATGAATTCCAATCAAAATACCAACAGAATTAGCAAAAACAATCCTAAAATTCAATTAGAACCAGAAGAGAACCTGAACAGCAATAGCAAAAGTAATCCTGGGTAACAAGACCAAAACAGGAAGATATACTATCTTGTTCCTGAATAGGTAGACCTAACATAGTCAAAATAGCCACATTTACAAAGCTGATATAGAGACAAATGAATTCCAATCAAAATACCAACAGAATTAGCAAAAACAATCCTAAAATTCAATTAGAACCAGAAGAGAACCTGAACAGCAATAGCAAAAGTAATCCTGGGTAACAAGACCAAAACAGGAAGTACCACAATCCCAGGTTTGTGGTTTATATTACACAGCTACAGTAATAAAAACAGCATAGTACTGGTATAAAAACAAACCTGCAGATCAATAAAACAGAACACAAGAAGCAGAAACAACCCCAGGCACATTCAGCTATTTGATCTTTGACAAAGGGTCCAAAAACATACCCTGGAGGAAAGATCACCTCTTTAATAAATACTGCTGGGAACACTGACTGGCCACATACAAAAGATTGAATCTAGGCCCATGTATCTCACCATGTACTAAATTAAAATCAAAATGGATCAAATGGATCTAAATGATAAAAGAAAAATATTTAATCTGCTGGAAGATAAATGTGCCTATGAAAACACAGGCATGGGTAAGGGCTTTCTGAACAGAACCCCAAATGCACAAGAAATAGTACCAAGAATCAACAAATGGGATCCTATCAAATTAAAAGGCTTCTGCACAGCAAATGAAACAACCAGCAGAGTAAAAACAACTGACAGGGGGAATTTTTTTCCAGTGATTCCTCAGACAGAGAACTAACATCCAAAATATATAAAGAATTATTAAAAATGAGTGTTATGGCTTGTGTCTAGATGACCCCCCACAAAGCCTCATGCAGTCATAGGTGGGGCTTTTTCAGAGGTGGCTGGATCGAGAGTGTATGATGCTGGAACTGATTCATGGAGCAATGCTAGGCTCAAGGGCACTAGGATTAAAGGTGTGGGTGCTACCTGCCCTAAGTATCCTGGATAAGATATAAGGGGTAGAAAGAAGCTGTAGTTGTCCCTTGTTTGTTTCACTACCTCCTGTCCACCATGAAGTGTTTCTCCTCTGTGATGCCTGATCAAAAAATGGGCAAGTCAAATGAGTAGACACTCTGCAGAAGTACGTGATCACACATGCCATAAATATACTATGTACATGCATAGTCTATTGTAATCTTCCCATCCCCCTAGCCCAGCACCCATACCTCCAGTCCCCATTTTCCACCTCCAGTTCCAGTACAGTCTGCAGACTCTGGCAGTGCAAGGCCTCCAAGGTGACAGTCACACTGCACTCCCCTAGAGGGTGAAGCTGGCCACTCGAAGGGTCAATATCAAAGGATGATACCTAATGCCAATTCAGAAGGATGAGGAGTAATGACACATGGGATTGCACAGGAACTGGGGTGGGGCATGCCCACCAAGGCTCTCACCAAGCTGCCCCAGGCTCTCACAGAGCCACTTAGGGCACACAAGGAGGTAAGCAGGTAGGGAACTACAGCTGGGCCAGGGTCTCAGGATTAAGAAGACAAACACTGAGACTCCAAGTCTCTAAATAAAGGAATACAATAAGAGCTCCCCATGCCTTGGCCTCCATCTGAGAGGCAGAAAGCAGAGGAAGGTGCCACAGGGGAGCAAGGTGAGCTGGGCAGGCAGGTGGAAGCCCCAACTCCAGGAGGAGAGCCATGGTAGGAGGTACAGGAGCCCAATGGGCAAGCCTAGGTCAGGACAGCTTTAACGGAGGAGAGCCATAAGGTCACCAGAGGGGTGGGAGAAGAATTTCCCCTTTGCTCCTACATGGTCCCTTCCCCACCCCCTCATCCCTGCAGGATAGACTCATTCAGCCCATAAGTCTGTCCCTGCTCCCACCAGACACCTAGACAAAGAGGGACAGGAAGGGAAAAAAGCCTTAGGCAGAAAAGTCTCTGCATCTGGGCAGGGTTCTCTATACTCTGTCTTTCCTGTCCCTGGTGACAGAAGGGGCACTCTTCCAAATGAGCAAGGCCCCCGAGAGAGGCCACACTGGCTAGTGAGGGCACCACATGACATCAAAGTCCATACCAGACAGGATGTAGTGATCTCACTCTTGTCCCTCCCTTCCATGAGATCAGGCACCTGGAGGTGCCACGTGGCAGGACTCGCCCTCTCTCTCCCTCACTCCCGTCCAGGCAGGCCCCATGCTTCAGAGGTAGGAGGTTACTCTTCCTGGCTTCTGAGCTTCAGCCTCCTGGCACTGCCATAGTACTGCCATAGAAAAATAAGACTCTGTGTGCTTGCCAGAGCTAAGGCACTGGAATTCGGGTGGAAGCTCAGCTGGCAAGGAAACAGCTAAGGAATGCAAACAAATCTTGAATTATCCTTTTGGAGCTTTCAAGGTTTGGGCCACATGCCTGTGCCCAGACTAAACCTGCTGTCAGGTACTCAAATGGCAGGTACCATCCCAGGGAGAATCAGAACCCCGGGTGAGCCGTCTGGGGCCAGAATGTGACCCTAGCAATAGCAACCCTGGAGGCTTCCTGACCAGTACAGCAGCCCATTTCCCCTAGACTAAGGCTGTCACATCATTGTGTGAGCTGACAAGACAGAATCCCAGTCCTGCTTCTGCATCCGACAGCAGAAAAGAGAATAAGAAATTCCTGCTAATCTGGGGTTGGAGGATGTGCAGGGCACTGTCTCAGAGGTGGGGAGTGGTGGGCGATAAGGGGCAGCAGGCTTTTCACCTCCAGCCTCAGATCTCTGATCTGCACGCACAGCACAATGGCTGCTGCTCAGACGAGATCCCCGGAGAAGTGCTTATGGGTGAGGAGGCACAGTGGTAGCCACCAGTGACCAACTTACACTCTCATGTCTTTCTTCCAGGCAGGCTGGGCTCTCCCTCAGGTGCCACACGGCCGGGAGCTGGCTGATGTTTTGGATAAGGATGGAGTTACTGGCTTTCTGCCCCAGGCGGAGCAGACCGAACTGAAGGGCTGAGACATTGATGACAAGAGCAGGCCCCTGAGGTGCCCAGAGAAGCCAATCACCAGGCTGACTGGGAATGGGCTCTGTGTCCTACCCCGCCACCTGCCTGCGCCCCGCAGCTGCCCAGCCCCCACAAGCATACCTTAAAGGCTGCCTCGATGTGTAACACCACGGGCGAGGGCGAGTCTCTGACTTCACACAGCAGGTCCTGGCTGACTGGGCCAGGGACACCCCCGGTAAAGTTCAGCTCAAAGTTCCCAACCTCACTGGGCTCTGAGAGAGGAAAACAGAAATAACAGAAGCAGGGGTGGTTTCCTGCTGTGCTCAGGACCAGATGCCCGACCTTTGCTCACTTCATCTGCCATATGCCGAAGGCCTTGGCTGGAGCTGACGGAAAGACACCCAGGGCCTTCCACGGGCCCCTCTAACTCTAACGACTCCTCCTGGGCAGGTCACACCCTCCTGCAGCTCCCAGGTACCTATGACCCCTGTGCAGGGCTCCACTTCAATGATGTGACAGTCGCTGATCTTCCCCCACATGTATTTGATGGGTGACTTGCTCTTGTTCCACATCTGAAAGACATACCCAAATCCAGGCTGCCCCAGTGCTGCCTTCTCAAGTCAAACCTGTACCTGCTGAATGGGGTTATGAGCTCACTGGATACCCTCCCGGCTAACTCCCACCCACCCAAAACCACAGCCTTCCCAACATAACAGCATCCTTGCTGCATGCTGCAGGGATGTGGGTGCCATATCCTGCCAAGGACCTGTGAATAGGGGAAGGGATCCACAGCCCTATTTCAGAGGATTCTGGAACACTGGTAAAATAAAACAAGATATGCCCAGCCCAGGAGTCTCTACAAGCAACATTAGGTTTGGGGCCCTGGGAACAGCCTCAGGCTCCATACAGTGACCCCTCCAGCTGTCTCCCCTACAGTTCAGCACCTCCTCAGCCAGGATGAGCAAGGAAGAGGCTCTGCCCTACCTTAAAATCTTTCTTCACATTGACACCAATATAGTTCTCCCCTGGGATGATGAGGGCATATGGTTCTAAGAGAACCCGGAAGGGCTCTGCTGAGCCTTTCACCTCGATTTCCAAGACAATCACATCATCCACAAAGTATGAGCAATCCTCTGGGTTCTTTACCTCTGCGCTGAAGACAAACCCACCATGAGCCAGAAAACAACATGGCCTGGGAACACATCCCTGCATGTCCCCGCCTCTGTCTCACATCTTTGATCTTATAAAGAAAAGACCTACAGTCTGTGGTTCCCATGCCCTCTACAATCAGAATCATCAGCAAAGCCACACTGCAGCCCCTAGCCTGGCATTTGTGTACCAGGCTGACAGGAGACCCACCCTGACCATGAGGCAAAATTCTCTTCATCCTCAACCCCACCCAGACAGCATGAGCTCAGTTGTCCAAGGGAAGCAATGAGCCTAGGGCACCAGCCCATGCTTCCTCGGGTGGTGCACAGCTCCCCTAGTGAGTACAGCCAAATCTATTTCCTATATGCTGAGCCCAATATGGAATAGGTTTCCAGGGCAAGACAATAGCACCCCCAGCCCACAAAGCCTGCTAAGGCCAAGGTAATCATTCCCCAACCACCGGGGCCTAAGACCTGTCACATAAGCATCCCCAGCTGTCTACGCTTAGCCAGGTCCAGGCCCTACTCACCTCAGGGGCTCGGGGACCTCTTCCAGCACCATCTGTAGCACACTGTGGAAATTCCTCAGCTGCAAGGCAAATATCGCACACTGAAAATGTGCATGCACTCCAGCCAGGCTGTCTAGAGAAAACTGGTGCTATGGCAGGAATTCCTCCCGACCCTTGGCCCTCAAAACAACGCTGGGCTGCTTCCCTACCACCTTTTTCACACCCTAAGAAAGTGGGATAACTGCCAGGACAGGAGCCATGACTCAGGCACCTACCTCAGCCCTGTCTTCTGGCAGGAAGGGTACCCCTGAGGCTCACACTGGCCATGGGTGAGGCCAGTCCCACTAACAGAGGCCCCAGACCTGGTCCTGTGCTAAAGGTTGGCAGCCTGAGCCTCATTCTGTCTAAAGGCTGCCGTGAGGTGGGGGAGGTGGTACTGTTCTCTGACATAACAGGACTGTAGAAGACACCAGGGCAGAGGAGATAAGCCTGGGGTCCTTTTGCTAATGGGTGCACATGGGATCAGGACCAGAAGAAAAATGAGTTGCTTCATTCTGCACACCAGGCACCATGGTCTGGGGACACTCTTAGCTAAAGGCTGGACTTAAGATGCCCAGGTACATTGTCAGACCCAGTTGTAGCTTCAGTGCCACTAAAGAACATGGACAGAGGGTCAAGATATCATGATCCAATCATATGTAGCTAATGACATGACACCCTTTTAACCTCATAAGGAGAAAAGCTCAGGATGAACTCATGGTCTGTGTGGGGGCTGAGAACCCCCTTTGCAGGTCTGATGGAAAAGGCCGTCTCCCCATCGGGGTGGTACTTGATGCTGTCCATGCTGTAGGTTTCTCCAGGCATTAGAGGCTGCAGGTTGGGCCTCATGATCTGCCAATGGAAGGCCAGCTCCACGTGCCTGTGGGGGCAACCATGACAGTAGACAGCAGACCTTAAGCCATGCCCTTAAGCCAGTTGTATCAGGTCCTCCTACCCCATGCCTGGCCTGCCCTGCTCCAGGAGCAAGCAGAAAAAAGGCAAAGGAATAGGAACTATGTCAAGCTTCAAGTCTTTCCCATGGAGGAGCATAGAAGGACTTGGGCAGGGAACTGCAGGTCGGTCAGGGAGTCCAAACTGAAAACCATGTAAAAGAGTCCCCTCTTTTCCATCCACCAGAGATGGAGGGTGGAGTTGTAGAGAATCAAGAGATATGGTCAGCTCTAGAAATCATGCTCCAGCCATAAACTGGAGGGATCTAAGCACCCCTGGATATCAGGAAAACCTTCTGCAGTATCTCCTCCACGTGAGTGTTCAGGGCTTGCCATATCCACCCTCCCTAGACCTTGCTTCTAGCTATGGTCTCCCAGGACAGTTATGTCCTGAAAGACAAGTGCCCTTGGCTGCCAACAGAAACTGTGACAATTCCACGCCAGTAGGAAGTACAGGACTTCACACATGTTTCTGACAGGTAGCTATCAACAGGGAAGGGATGACAGGAAAGTACCACTTATCATGCTGGGTCACAGAGCCTGTGTACTGTATGAGGATAGGGGGAAGCCCTTGCTTGGAGGATCCCTCAGGTCAGTCCTGGTGCTTAGAGGCTGGTCAGGAAGTAAAGGACAGTGAGGGCTGAACCCACAGACCTAATCTCTCTGCCTCAGAACTTGGATGGCTTTCTCAGCACCAGTACACACTTGCAACATGACCTCTCCAGAAAATTATTCCTGGTTCAGATGGGTCCCAGTGATTTAGAGCAGCATTATGCAATTGAGCACTCTCCAATACGGTGGGCACTAGCTATATGAGATAACTGAGCTCTTAAAATGTGGTTTTTGCCACTGAGGAAATGTTTGTAAATTAATTTTAATTTTAATTTATTCAAGTCTCAATTGCTGCATGTGGCTAAAGGCCATCAAGATGGAGAGTGTGAATCTAGATCCTTCTGTCCATTCTGAATCTGTCATAGGCCTAGAATCCCTCTTGGCCCTTGGAAGGATGCTCTTTTCTCACTGGGGTGTGTGCACAGGGGCCACTTACGTAGCATTTCTTATAATCAGCTGTTTCTCTGTTGTAGACTGAAGGTTTTCAGGCTCAAATCGTATAAAGTACTGAGCTGTTAAGTCTGTGAGCTCTCCAGGGTCTGGTTGACTTTTTTCACCAGAAATATAGATCAGATCCAAAGCAACGAGCTGCCCAGTTCCTGATAAAGTAGGATAGTGAGGTTAGTGAAGTTTCACTAAGTTGAAATCAGTGCTTGTGCCATCATCCACATGCATCCAGCCTTAACCATAGTCCCCAGACGTGTACCCAAGAGGGGAGAGAAATCCATGAGCACATTCATGTCCTCACTTTCTCATCGCCTGAAAGGAGGTGATTTTGGGAAACTAACACATAGAAGGTATTCAATTTAATGCCTTCCAAGTGAAACTGGATGGAAAAATGGAAGAAAAGGATAGAAAGAAGAGCAGGAGGGAGAGTAAGGGGAAGGGAAGGCAGATGAGTGGGCATCTTGGGGCAATTCAGCCCCTTCCAGCCTTGCAGAAGCCTAAAAGTGCCTCTGGTGATTAATGTGAGTCACTGGAAATTCCTCAAAGGAGAGTAAAGTGACTTTCAAAATAAAACAATGAAAGATTTTGCCCAGGTTTCTACTTGCCATCACTGTAGGACCCTTTCATTTGTCTAGAAGGCCATGCTGGCTTGGATCTGACCAAAGCAAGAGATTGAAAACTGCAGCCTGGTGCCTGGAGACTGCCATATCCCCAGTGTGCACCCTGACACAGGGTGAGTACAGCCACCCTGCTGCCAGATAAAACAACCCCCGGAGCACACGCAAGCCTACCTACAATCACCAGTTCCTTTATCTGGCAGTTGTCACACACGATGATGAAGGTCTGCTCTGCCTTTCCCAGGTTCGTTGGTAAGAAAAAAACCTAAAGAAGAGAAAGGGTGCCCTGTCAGCCCCACTCAGGGGCTCCCCTCCCACCTCCCTCTCTCCTGTCAGACATGCACCTCTCTTTGCTCATACTTTTCCCTTCCCTCCTCTCCCTCCCTGCCAGCTTACTCCTAAGACCAGAGGTTTCAATCTAGGCTCCTTTTACATCCTCAAGTAAGGCAAGGAGTATGTTGAAAGGATAAGGACAGTTCAACAGACAAATGAGTTATAAGCTCATTCCTAATAAAAGAAATGTAAATGAAGATCACCCAGAAGAACAGATTTTTCACTCATCACACTGGCAAACAGCACAGAGTTAGCTGTCATAAATGCAGTGGTTGTATCTTCCCTGATTTTCCCCCAAAATTCTCCCCTACCTCCAGTCCCTGTTAACCTCTACTCTTTGGGTCTATGAGTTCTACCTTTTAAAATTCAACAGGTAAGTGAGATAAAACAGTGTTTGTCTTTCTGGGCCTGGCTTCTTTCACTTAATATAACATCCTCCAGATCATCCATGTTGTTGCAGATCACACAGTTTGCTTCTTTTAAGGCTGTAAAGTATTCTATTGCACATCAGAATCACACTTTATTTATCCATTCATCCATTGATGGACGCTTGGGTTGATTCAATATCTTGGCTATTGTGAATAATGATACAATGAACATGAAAGTATAAATGCCTTTTCAACATTCTGATTTAATTTCTTTTATGTGTATCCCAGTGGTGGGATTGCTAGAACATAAGGTAGTTCTAGTTTTAATTTTTTTAGGAATCTCCACACTATTTTCTTTTCTTTTTTTTTTTGGTTCCGGGGATCAAACTTGGGTCCTTGTGCTTCCAAGGCAGGCAGCGAAACCACTGAGCTAAATCCCCAGCCCCCTCCACACTACTTTTTGTAATGGCAGTACTAATTCACATTCCCAGCAACAATGTGTGTTTCCTTTTCTTCACATCTTCATTAGGGTTGTTATCTTTCATCTTTTTGATAACAGCTATCCTAACAACTATGATATGATATCTCATTGTGGTTTTAATTTACATTCTCCTGATAAGCAACATGACATATTTTTTCATATACTTGTTGGCCATTTATATGTCTTCTTTGGAGAAATATTTAAACAGATCCTTTGCCCATTTTAAAATCAGATTGTTTTCTTGCAAGAGTTTTCTGAATTTCTTACATACACTGGATATTAACCCCTTATCAGCTGTAGGGTTTACAAATATTTTCTCCATCCACAAGTCATCTCTTTACTCTGTTGACTTTTGCCTTTGCTGTGTAGAAGCTTTTTAGTAATTCCATTTTACTCTTGCTACCAATGTTTTGAAGATACTGGAGCTTTTCCCATTTCCTTCTCATAGCTTTATAAGCTCATATAAGGCAGTGGTCCTTACACAGCATCCCCTGAGCAGTTGTAAAGTTCCGTACCCAGACCAGTGAACTCAGAACTCAGGGTGGGCACCCAGGCATGATCGTGCATTTCTCAGGTAATTGTAATGTGCAGCTCAGTTTAAAAGACAATGGAGTTTGGATCTCATCACTGTCAGAAGCCAGACAGTTTTTAATGCCTGAATTAGAGAAACCTCCTTAGCAGGCTATTGAGAAAGGGCTAAGCATGTCTCCACAGCCCCATCCAGTGACGTGACACCACAGAGTCAGACTCCAGGACCAGGGAGACAGGAAAGGTGGCAGTGTGATCCTCACAGGCATGTCTGGAGACCAGCAAGTGTATAAGCCAAAGAGAAAACTAAAAGGGGCTGGTTAGGAAGGCACAAGTAATGACCATGGGATCAGATCTTGGGGAGCTTCTGTAGAGGCTCAGAATAAGGCTTAAGGAAGGCAGCCTCGTTGGCTACATAAACATGACAGCGAGAACAAAGCTGCTGTCTTCACCCAGGTACCAGATGGTGCTGGTGGGGTTGAGGAAGGTCCAAGAAGTCTGAAAAGTTATAGGCAGATCTTAAAGGGAGCTTATGTCTTGGGGAAGGTCACTCCCAAGCTAACAGTGTGGACAAGCAACACTTAGGCATCATGATGGAAATGCTAGGTTTGTCCGCATTTGCTTTGTGAGGGAGGTCATAAGATAGTCAAATGCAATCATTCTGCAGAACGCAAGAACATGCACCTATCCAGACCCACTAAGGATGGTATCTGGGATGGGAGTAGGCACTGGCTCATGAAAACACAGAAGCAAATGCTTTCATGTAGCCGTTGAGGGAAGAGACGTGAGGAATCATGAAGAGGCAGGAATATATGCCAATGTGTAGTTACTTACCTCCAGTAATACGGAAAACCCAGGAGCCAGCTCAAACACTGAAGGCATGACTGCAAAAGGAGGCTGTCCAACAAAGCCAGTGCTTGCAATAGCCTTAAAGAAAAGCAGAAAATTACACAATGGTTTGAAAGAAAGTAAAAGATCCAGGGCTTAAATTGAAAACTTCTCTCCTCCAAATATCTGTTTTGCTACTTGAAGGATCTTAAGGATCATCGAATCCCAACTCAACAAAGAAACTCACTCATCTGGCACACATTTACTTGCCCTTTACCGGGCACCAGAGGAGTTCTGAAGGCTAAGGCCAAGTGAGTGACAGAACACCTGTAAAGAGCTAACTACTGGCAGGAGATGCAAAAATACCACTGCCAAGTGCCTGGGACAAAGGCAGGAAGTATGAGAAGGCTTTCCCAAAGCACAACAACTTCCTTTTTCTCCTCAGCACCCTGGGTCAGTGGTGCTAGTGTACATGTCTGCCTCTATTACCACTGTACCCCTGGCTAAAATAAGCTCCAGAGCTCCTGAGTCACGAGGGCAGCTATTGTCTTGTTAGCAGAGCTGCAGCCCCAGTTCATATACAGGAATCCACTGAATATTCCAGGGATACAAACCTAGGCCTACAAGACCCTGGCAGGTAACAGGAATGAGTAAAATGAGTTTCACGTGGTCCTCTCAACCTATTACATGCTTCCTGGACATAAGCATTCAGAGGATTTTTCCCTAGTATAAGAGAAATAACCATATATCGGTGATGATCGATGGATGGTGTCAAGTTAAGGCAGCCTGGCAGTGATGCAGCCCAGGCCACAGAATGGAGCACATGAGCCCTACTGCCATGCCCGATCTGAGAGGGTCACAGTGAGTCCTGGCCTGGCCCTGCACAGCTTCCAATTTTCTAGAGACTGAAACTGCAGGTGTATATGTGAAATTTCCCCCACTTTTAAAAGCTTCGTTCAAAAATGTTTTTAAGCAGCGTGCTAAATAAATACCAACAGAATTCAGCCAAAGTGCTGCCAATCTGTGGCCTCTAATATAATTAGACATTTGTTATGATAATGATGTCTTCCAGAGTGAATGTTGAGCCAGGCCTTCAAGGATAAGAGAGGTGCTACACCTGCCTAGGGTTGCACAGGTGTTAGTGATAATAACCACAGCTATAGTCCTGGACTCCATATATATTCAACTGAGACCTGACAGCTGGACAGAGAGTTAACAACATTCTGCTTTTAGGTGTTTCCAATCATGGGACTATTGGGCCGGGGATTTAGCTCAGTGGTTCCTCTGCCTGTGTGCAGTCACGGGACTATCTAGTACTTCACTCCAAGGGGTTATTTTCTTTGATGGATTTGCTCTTTTTCCAGGTAGCAATGAATAATCACTCACTGTGAAACTTATTGGCGGCCATCTCTCTTTGGGCATAATGTGGAATTTGCCAGTGCTGAAGCCCACATTTCTGCAGATGAATTTCATCATCTTTATTCCCCCAATGAGGCAGTAACCACAGTCCAACATCGGTGACACTGAAGTCACAAAAAGATGTGTAAGAAGAAACATGCGCTCTGGTTGGGCCCTGTTGTCACTATTCCCCCGAAGTCCAGCCCGCACTCAGAGCAGCTGTGGAATGACCTAAGGGCCCCAGCTGAGCACCCAGAGCAGAGAGAATCAATGGGGACATGCTGAGCTCTATGCTGCTACAAGGAGCCCTGTGAGGCAGACAGTCTTATGAGGACTCTCCAACTCTGACTGGATCCCTAAGTAAGGTAGGGCACAAACTCACAGGTCAGCACAGGGGGCGGCCTCCGGGCCTGCAGGGGGATCAGCAGCTTGTGCGCTGACTGGGTCTCGACTAAAACAAAGTCATCAAAATCCCCAAGACAGTCAGGAATAAACTGGACAGAGTATTGGCAGGTCATTCCAGGAGCCACCATGCCTCCACTTCCTGGGAACATCCCTGTGCGTGACAAAAGCAACCAATGAGGATGGGAACCAGTACTCACCAGGGTTGGGCTCTGCTGCCTCAGAGGGCAAGCACAGCGGAGGCTGACTGTATGAGCCAACGCCTCTGGGCCAAGGTCAAGCAAATGGCAGAACCATCAAGTGTGCTAGGGACAGGCTTTTGGTGCAGGGACTCCACGAAAACCATCAGGGCCCAAAGGGGTGTGAGACGGTCCATCTGGAATGGTTAGGTGGAGCCATGCCTGGCCCTGTGGCTTAGAATTTGTCACATGGGCAGCAGAGAGTCCTTTGAGATTTCTGGGCAGAGGGACAGAGTTGTTCTTGAGACAAATACTGGCAAGTAAGCTGGAAGGCTGGCTGGACACTGCAACGGTGAAGCGAGCATTGGGGAGGAGCTGACCGAGGGTAGTGACAGCATGAAAGAGGAAATGGCAGAATCAGTGCCTGGAGAGAGACGATCAGGAGAGAGGAGCTCTCTAGATGGTGGGATCTCACCAGCAACTGGTGGGGAGAGGAGGCCTGAGCTCAGGACAGGGGAAGAGCCATCAGGGTTTCGTGGGTCCATAACTGCAACCAACCCACCACACAGCTCTGAGGCTGTCTAAAAGGATGCCTCACTGAACTCACCTAACCCCAGAGCAAAGTGTGGAGTAGAAGGCGGGAGGACTCGCAGGTAGCGGCTAGTTGCAGTGATATTCTGTAGTGTGATCACCATCTGTCCAAAGGGAAGGGTAATTTCTCTTAGCAACATTGAAGGACACAGTGTTGCTGAGCAAGGTGGTACATACCTGTCATCTCAGCACTTGAGAGGCTAAGGCAGGAGGATCACAAGTTCAAGGATTGCCTGGGCCACACAGTGAGTTCAAGGCTACCTTGAACTATATAGTAAGACCCTGTCTCAAAAACAAAACAAAAAGCAGGGACACAATGCTATGTCTGGCATTTACTTTAGATAATGTAGGAAGGGGGGAAGGTATAAATGAAATAAGCTTGGCCACCTGGTGATAATCTTTAAAGCTGTGTGATTAATGATGGGATCATGGGAATTCATGCTATTTTATACTTTTGTTTGTTTGGAGAAGATGCCATAGTGAAAACTAAAATACAGGGTAAAAATAAAGGTAGGCATAGATCTTACCTATTATCTGTCCTTTTGTTTAAAATAACAACTACAGGCCCTAAATATCTGGGGAGATTGGTTTCAGGACGCCAGCAGATTCCCTAAATTCACAGATGCTGAAGTCCCTTACAGAAAATGACATGGTTCTGGTGTATAATCTGTGCACATTCTCACATATACTTTTTTTTTTTTTTTTTTTTTTGGTACCAGGGATTGAACTCAGGACCTTGCACTTGCAAAGCAGGCAGCAGAACCACTGAGCTAAATCCCTGGCCCCTCTCCCGTATACTTTAAATGATCTCAAGATTACTTATAATAACTAATACAGTGTGAGTTCTAGAGAAACAGTTATTATATTATGTTGTTTAGGGAATAATGACAAAGAAAAAGTCTGTACAAGTTCAATACAGATGCAACCACTGTGAGCCTAACCAGTACACCAACAGGACTCCATGTGAATCATGCTCAAAGTGAAATGGTGTCTTATTTTGTCAGGGCACACTTTCACATCCTTCATTCATGAGAATGCAACATAGTGCTCAACACACAATAAACTCAAGTTCACTTAGTTGGAAATTTTTGTATTTTTAAATAGTTTCAATTTACTGTTGGTTGAATTCATGGATGTGGAACTTGCAGATAACAGAAGGCTGATCATACAATTTATGTAGCATCTACTCTGTGGGAGTACCTGACCCATTTGGCTCTCAAAGCCAAGAAAGATGGGAACTGTCCCTACTTAACAGAGTAAGAGGCTGAAGACCACAGACGTCCCTTAGCTGCTGTGTTGAGATTTGAGTCCTGGACCTCAGGCTCTAAAGTTCTGCCAACTTCACTTCATTTATTGTCTTCTTCCCCACATATCACTGTGGGCCTTCTTTTCATGGCCCGGACAAGGGGCTGTCTACCACTTAACCTACCCAGCTCTGATTAAACTCCATCTTCTCTTCTCCCTGACCCAAACAGAAAAGCTCCCTAAGGAAAAGTCCTAGAATTAACCTGGAGAGTACAATTTCATGGTTTTAATGTTCATTTCTCTATTATTAATAATAGTGTGACATCTTTTCATATGTTTATTTGCTCTTTGGGTCTTCTATAAGTTGTCTGTTCACATCCTCTTACCATCTGCAACTGTATAGTTTATCTTATTGGTTTATAGGAGTTTTTTTTATGTATGCTGGATATTGACTCTTTATAAGGTAGACATGATAAACACCTCCAAGTTTATAAACTTGTATTATCTTTTGATATACAGCTTCTAAAATATTTTTATTTGATTTTGTTGGTGCTTAACCAAGGGCTGCCTCTGAGCTATTCCACCCAGGTCATTTCCAATATAAAATATATAAAATGTGTCAACCATTGATAAGTTTGTGTTTCAGTCTTTAAATAAAAAAATCTTTCCACGCTTCCTATATATATTTTTTTCTAACAATGTCATTCTTTACCTTGAGATCTTTACTGGCAACTATTTGGTTTGGAGGATGGAATAAAGTAGAGATTTTTTATATGGCAAGAGATTAAACTTGGTTTTCTATCTTCAGATCTGCATACATGAATGGACCAGCCCTAGAGAAGAGTATGTACTGACTCCTCATTAGAGCTAGTTACAGCCACTGTTTTCACCAAATTTTTTTTAATTCCAGGAATTAGCTCCTCCTCGCGTGTGAGGCATGCCTGGCTTATTAGAGGATGCTTATTAGAGGATGTCCCGCAAGATTAGACAATCAATTGCATTTAATGGTGGTCAGCTCAATAATGCCTTTTCACACCACCTCTCTCTCCTTCCATCCTTTTCTCTCCTGCATCACTAGAACTGTAAAGAATAGTGAATAATCATACCATCTCAGGCTCTACTTTATGAGGAACCTGGACTGTGGTAGTTTGTACCAGAAGGGTCCTAAACCAGTAGACTCTTGGGATGAAATTCTGGAGTTCACTTAATCACCAGTCTAGTAGAAATTAAGAACTCTGGCTGGCAGAAAGCAGGGTGTGAGGATGCTGATATGATGACATCGCAATTATTTAATGCTTCCACCAGTGGGCAGCTGGACTGAGGCGAAGGTGGACAGACAGGCAACTCGGGTGGTAACTTGGACGGCTGCAAGGTCTAAGGCAGTGGTAATTATAAGGAGCGTGGAGAAGCCTGACTGGCTTCCTTAACAGCCCTGGAAGCCATGGAGGGGAAAATCACAGGCTAGGGCAGCCAACTGCCATCTCAGCCCTACTTTAACCCCCATTCCACCCCACCCTCAGTGAAGACATTCCTTGCATTCTTGAGTTACTAATGATGCTGTATGTGTATTTTTTTTTATTCCTGATTGATCTGGTTTCATGCTTTTTACCTACTATTTCTGCACCTGTGTTCTTAAGTTAAGACTAACTTATTTTTTTTTTAATTTAGTGTGAAGGTAATAGCAGGAGAATAGTGAGGATGGATCCTTCTTTTTCTAGTCTCTCAAACAATTTATAAAAAATAAAGATTAGCTTCAATGTTCCATAGTGCGTGCCTGTAAAGTTATTCTTTGCCTACTCTTGGGTTTTGGATTTTGTGGAAAGTTCTTTTCAAAGTTATTTTCATCATAGTTGAACAGCCTCATAGTTTTAAAAGGCAGAGAGTTGTACGAGGTTTCAAAAATAGAAATCCTTTCCACTGGTCTCCACCCTGCAACCTCCCACTTCCCAAGGACACGTTTTCTTCCTTATTTTGTTATTTACTTCCATGTCTCCAAATAGCACATTACTTTTATTTCTTCAGTTTTAGCATGAATTATGGATAGATAATATGGATATTCTCTCTTTCCTCACCCATATCCAATTCAACCTCTGATATGCCCTGCCAAATTCCTGGCTAGATCAAGAATTAATGTTTACACTCCAGTTACTATGTCACAGTGACTAATCATGATTCGTTTCCCTCCCTTGTATAATCTTTGTTTATCCTGAGGCTAACTGTCAACTAATTATTTTACTTGCTACGCACTTATCAATAATTCAGTCCTCCAATACTCCACAACTCTTCCCCAGACATCCAGATGTATCAGGGAATCTTACGAATGCCACCTCTATACACTAACCTCTCCTCGGTGCTTCTGACATAATCTTGGCCAGTTGCCTGCTACACTAGCTATTTGGTTGCTTAAACTTTATAGTGTAGCTGATTAATAACCACTATGTACACATCCCAACAGACAAAATGTACATTTCCAAGAGGCCTCATTAGATGTAATTCAGTCTATATAATAGACTATGGCACGCTGTACTTTCCAAAAATGGCCACAGCAATATGTTAGGTCCCACACACCCTTCTAAAGCCTTGTCATTGCCCAGTCAATAAGGACTATATATGTCCCTACACTTTGCCTGCCCTTTTGGAAAGGCTCCTGCTAGGAAACCATTCGCTGTATCCAGAGGAAGCCCACACTAGCCGATGTGGAATAGCCTTATGGAGAGGCCCATAGGGAAGCAGTCTGAGCTGAAAGCTGGCATCAACCTCAAGACATGAGAGCGAATGAGACTTCAGTTACTTCCGCCTGACCCCACACTCACCCCCATCTTCTATCTGAGGCCCCAGGTATTACACAGTAGAGACAAACTATCCCTGTGGTATCCCACACACTCAGCAAGCAGATGGCTATTTGACACTACAAAGGCTTGGAGTAACTTAACTCATGCTACAATAACTGGAACATTGAATACATTAAAAGAGGTACTAATGAAAATTGCTATTAAAATCACGTGATAAAGGTACATTTCAGCTGGGCATGGTGGCATATGCCTGTAATCCCAGCACGAAGGAGGCTGAGGCAGGTGGGTTGCCACAAGTTTAAGATCAGCCTGGGCTGCATAGTGAGTTTAAGGACAGCCTGAATTACATAGTGAGGTTGTCTTTAAAAAAAAAAAAAAAAAAAAAAAAGGATGGGGGGAGCATTTCAAATACTCTTTTTTTTTCCAATCAAGTATTCTTAATCACAAATTATGCTCTTAAGTTTCCGAACACAACACACCATGAATATACGCCTCCCAGTATACAAATGCTTAGAATCCTGCAAGTGGACATCAAGCTACCCCAAAGAAGTTATCCCTGAGGCTCATGCCCCGGAAACAGAGACTTCCAGAAAAGCATCTTATTCCAAGATTCTTCTGATAACTGTGGAAAAGTGGGGTACAAGCATGGAACGCAGGAAGGTCTGTAGAATTAGAACTGTAATTAGAGTTGTCATATGAGCTCATAATTTTATATGCATATATACACACACACGCGCGCGCACGCATGCACATATACACGCATATGGTTAAATCTGTGAAAATGACATTTCTCCCGGGCTCTGTTTGTTGAAAAAAATCTGGAAGCAATTATACCCACGTGACAATGAGCAGACCAAGTGTTTAACTCCTGGTTTCAAAATTCCATTCCCTATTAAAACAAACCATGGCTTCTGGGAAGCTGATTCCAAAACTGGAAGAAAAAAAAAAAGTAGATAGGATGAACCTGGGACATTTCATACTGCCAGAGTTGGAGCAAGTCCTAAAACAATGCTAGGTCACATTAAAGAACACAGAGACAAGTCCTGAGGCTCCTACTAGGCAAATCTCAGATCCTTGCAGAACCAAAAGGAACACTGACAGTAAGTGAGCTGCCTCATTTTAGGGTAGATTAACATCATTTCCTTATCTAGAGTGATTCTAAAAAGTACACCTGCCCTTGAATACCAACCAACAAAATGAAGTCTACACATTTTACAGGACCAAAATCCATACTTTGAAAAGCATGAAATAATCAATTATTCAAGGAGAAAGAAATAAGTACTTAAAAGTGACAAACAGATCCTTAAAATGTATTGTCTTGATTAGACCTATACTAACCCAAAAAACTGTGTACAAAATATGATACAAATTTTTCTTTTAATATTTGTAATTCCCTTGTATATTTTGCCATTCGGAGGTTTAAATGTTGCTGTACAGCCCATGATGAAGTGATATCCAAGGATAATACCTCATCAGACACCAAAGCCTTTATCGTTAAATCCTCTCCTTAGTATCCTCTGATCTGTGACAGCTCCTTCCCCAGCTTTTCCTTGTTTAAAGAGTGTTGGCCAGTTATTTTGTAGCATGTCCTTCAATTCTATGGTTCAACTGAAGTCATACATTCCTGGGAAGGACACCATAGAGGTGATACACTCTTCTCACTATGTCATATTAGCGGATATGGTGTTGATGTATCTTATTGATGGTGACATTAACTTTAATCCCTTTTCTTCCAGGGTTCTCTGTTGTACAGTTACTATTTTTCTTTTCATAATTACTAAATATCTGGGGGAGACTATGCACTTATCTGTTTCTGCTGAAATTTGTGGGTGATTTTTTTTCGGTACCGGGGATTGAATGTGGGTCCTTGCGCTTGCAAGGCAGGCCACCGAACCGCTGAGCTAAATCCCTGGCCCTCTGCTGAAATTTGTACCCCTAATTTTAGTACCCATTGGAATTTTCTTGCCTAAAGAAATTAGTGCTGGTGTATTCAACAGTGATTTTTATACTTCTCTTTTCTTTATTAATCAGGTTTCTTCTAAAGACAGTCTTTTCTCCCTCACTTACTAGCTTACTCACGCAATTACTTATATCAGTATGGACCCATGGACATTTCTTTGTGTTGTAATCCAATGCCATTATTATTTATTTTGTTGCCTGAGTTGTTCCAACTTTGGACACTGGGAACTCTGTCCCTCTGCTACTCCTCCCAATCATCCATCTGTTTCTTTTTTTGGCTTCGTACATTCTGGCACCTCAAGATACTATTAAATTCAGGATACAGAACTGACACATGTCTGCTTTTGCCAGGAGCAATTGAGAAGTTTAAATATTGTGGATATGCATACATTCCTTACACTGTGAAGCACAACCCACATTTGTGTGAGGACACTGTTATTAGGCCCAGTTGCCGCTGCCACTTGTGAGTGGAGCTGGCAATTGCTAAGCTTGATCTTCACCTGATTGCCCAGAATGATGGGAAGCCAGCATTAAGAAAAAAGCTGGAAAAAAGGATAAGGAAATCTCTTTCAGAGAAACCTCTGGATATACTGCAGAGGGGCAGAGGAGAGTAAGAAGAGGAGATATAGATGTATGACTATGGCTCCAAAGGGGGAAAATGGTAGAATTAAAATGTTAAACTATTATGTAAGAAAAGTATAAGGAAAAGGAAATAGGAAGAAAAATTTGAGTATTTTTTAAATAGAAAAATCACAGCTATAAATATAGATGGAATAACAATACTAGAAATCCCATTTCATACTCTAATTTAAAAAAAAAATGGTTGTACGCAATAGTCAGCCAAGGCTGCTAACAATTAAATGACAGATTGATAAGAACTTTATAAAGGATGAGTCAGGCTAACAACACCTGTAGCCACTCCTCACTGGTACTGGGGAGCTCAGTTATGCTTCCTCTTGGTGTGGTACCATAAGAAATAATAAGTCCCACCAAGAAGTACCTCTGACAAAAAGGAAAATCACGAAGCCCAGTACAGTGGCACACACCTACAGTCCCAGCTACTCAAGAGACAAAGACAGGAGGACTGCTTGAGCACAGAAGTTAAGCCCAGCCTGAACAACATAGTGAGAAGCCCATCCCAAAGAGAGAAAAGAGGGAAGGAGAGAGGAAAGGAGAAAAGGAATCTAACCAAACCTCTCCATCTAATTACCAGTTTACAGATGATATGGAGAATAAAGGGACATGTTTAATGTCACAACAACAAGGCAATTAGGCAAATCCAGGATGAAGAAATTATAGTTTCTTCAACAACAACAAAGAAATAGCATTTTTTTAAAGCACAGTGTAGAGGAAGAACTGTCCTCAACTAAGGGAGGATAAAGAGTTATTTTTTAGTCACCCACAATGTTTAGATTTTGATTCACAGAAACCAAGTGGCTTATTAATCAAATGGAGGAAGATCAAACTTGATTCACATATTAGTTGACATGAATGAATCATTGCTCATATCCCTGAGTGTGACTATGGTATTAAGGTTGTTTTTAAAAAGTGCTGAACTATTAGAGATGCTTCATAAGTAATAACTAAAGAACAACATGCTGTGTAGGTTCCCTTACAGCATCCAGCTCGGGAATGGACACAGGACCACACACATGAAGTTGTAGAGGTGGTCATAGGTGAAACCAGATTTGCAAACTGCAGGATACTGCAGAGGCTAGGTGATGGGTCCATGAGGTTTATTACCTTCTTTTCCCTAGCTTTCTATATGGCTCAAAATTAATACATATTTTTTTAAAATAAGAAAGGAAATGGGAGAAAAAAAAGAAAGGAAATGGGGGAAGATCTTCAATGAATCAAGATCTACCTCATAAACTGGTCCAACTTCATAATCTGTGAAAAACACAATTGATGGCTTGGCCAGGAACACTGGAGTATTTGCACAACTGTGGGAGGAAAGAGGGGAGAAGAAGAGTGTGAGTTTTAGCTACACAACAAGTATTGTGTGGTGATTGAATAATGCAAAAATAAACACATTCAAGCCATCAAAGATACCCAAAATATGGAACTCATGGAGCTTTTTCATTGGTTTTGTTTCAGCAGATTACAAAATAAACCAAAATCCAATCTTTTTGAAATCATGTGTAGCTAAATATAAAATTTTCAATATTCATAGAAAAACTGGAAGCTTAAACACAAATATGTCAGGTGAGATTGAATACAGTTTTTATTTTCAAATATTAGTCTTTTCTTTATAAAAAGATACCAAATGTCTAATAAAAAGGAATTAAGAGTCCATTAAAATTACAAACCCATGAAGCAACTCATTCTCTTTATCAGGAGCCAAAGGCAATCTCTTTTTTTTAAAAAAATCACAATTTACATTAATTATTTGTAACTAAGCAAATTTTAAACATTGCCATTACCCAAGACACATGAATATCATGGAAGCAGTACATGAAATAACCAAATACCCCAAAGAGATTCCTCCATTTGACCCAGACTGTTCAAATGTCCAAAAAGAGGGCCCATACCAACCCCTAGTTTTCTGTTCCCTTATTTCTAACCCTAAAAGGTCAGCAACACATAAGCTCAGGACCCTGGGAAATAGTTAAAGGACACGTCAGTAGGTGACCCTGAAGACCTGGTCTGATATCACCCTCGGCCCTTGCCATAATCAGAAAGTCTAGGAGCTGTGGTGGACACGGTGCAACACACCTCTAATCCCAGTACTCTGGGAGGCTGAGGCAGGAGGTTCAAGCCCAACTCGAGCAACTCAATGACTTAAAGAGATACTGTCTCAAAATGAAAAAGAATGAAGGGAGGGCAGGGACAAGGGGAAAAAATGAGAACCAAGACCTGTCATGTAAAGGTACGAGATCCCAATGATAAATGTAACTGTATCCCTAAAATGTACCAATAAACTCAATTAAAGCTGAAAAAAAATGAAAAAGAATGAAGGGAGGGCAGGGACAAGGGGAAAAAATGAGAACCAAGACCTGTCATGTAAAGGTACGAGATCCCAATGATAAATGTAACTGTATCCCTAAAATGTACCAATAAACTCAATTAAAGCTGAAAAAAAATGAAAAAGAAGCGGGGCTTGAGATGTAACTCAATGCAAAGGCCCTGGGTTAAATCCTCAGAACTACAAAAGGAAAAATAAGTCTAAGAGCCTCCATAGCCAGAGCAGGCTCAGGAATTTCTGGATTTTACAGTAAAAGGAAAGACTTTCTGAGACTATAACTTAGGGAAAGGCATACCTCTGTTCTGGCTCTTCATTTGGAAATTTTCCTGTCAGCATTGGCTTCTTTGGAGGAAAAATAAGAGACCTGCCTCCATGTACAGTGTTAGGAGGAAAAAAACGGGGGTTTTTTAGGAAGTGGTTGCGACTCTCCATTCTAGCAAGCTGAAGTCGCTCCAGTTCTCTCTGTGGCACTCGTAAGTGGTTCATCCATTTTTTATTCTTCGGTGGACTTGCTTTCTTTAGAACACACAGAAGCACAATCAATAACATGCAAGGGACTGGTGTTTTGACATCTTAGCCAAGTGTGTGACCCACAACCAACGCAAACGTATTTTGCTGGGTGTTCATCACAACTTCTTCTGTATCTGAACTTCCCGGCCCCAGTGCTTACACAGTGCTATGCACAGGCTTCTGAACCAACCTTGGTGGTTTCTTTGGTCCTCTGTTTAGCCTCAGGAGTTGAGTCCCATGTCAAGCTGTCCACAGTATAGTCTAACTCATCTGCAAATGCAGGACGCTTCTCCCTGCAGGACACTGGAAGCATCTTGTCTGCCTTTGGGATGGAATGCTTCTCACAACTGAAGGTCAGTTTTGAACATCCAGGGTGGAAGGCACCTACGGCACCAAGGAAACAAACTGAGTTGCAGTAACAAAGTTGGGAAGTGAACCAAGTAAAACCACCAAAGCCACAGTCACATTGATAATTCAGCCTAAATGTTCACAATTTACTACACCAGATGTAATTGCCCTTCACCATATGAATTACTCCTGGAACTCAATTCATGCATCTGAGACCTAGGACTAAAGGGTTAAAATATCTTTCCATTTCCAAATATAGGCAAATGAATTGACCATTTTCACATACGCATGCACATACACCCCAGATGTAAACATCCTTTGTGAAAATCTTACATGAGGAATCAATGCCCATATTAGCCTTTTACACACATAAGAACATCCCCTGAAGGCTGAGAACAATCATTGCTAGCAAGAATGTAATGAAACTGGTACCCCCACACACATTTTCAGCACAGTGCTTGGTAAGTCCTCAGCACATGTTGGGTCCATCCTCGCCTACCTGCATTAGGTATCGAGCATCCAACTAACTGTAAAATGTGAGTGGTTTAGCACCCCAAAACACTTGATTCTCCTGACACTCCTTCACTCTTTTCTCAATTATGTGGGTCCCATCTTTTTGTTCCATGTGATTCCTAAGCCCCTAAGCCGCAGAGATCATCAAACAGTACCACTGAGTGGGCCACTTGTCTTTCGAGCTTGGCACCACTAGGCAACCTCGACGCTTTACCACAGGTCATGTGGTGACTTTTCCCCAGCCACACAGTAACTCTTTCAAAATCTATCTTCATGTTTAGGCCCAGCAAACAGTCTCCTGCTTTATTCATTCTCAGAATATCCTGCCTTACTGATCACAGGAAACTGGCCCAATAACACATGAATGCACACACCCACATGCACCTTCTCAGCTTGTCAGCCCGTCCTTCCCTCCATTCTCAGTAGCAGAAAAGCTGCTCTTTGCCTCTACAGAGAAGCCCCTGTCCGCATTCCACCCCAACCCTTGACTCTCTTGTCTTCAGTCCCTCCCTCTCTTAGTGCATTCAACTACATCTGCACTTTTGCAGGCCCCTGGGTGCTGGGATGCTAGCAAGAGTACCATATTCCACATGGAAGAGTTGGAACTCCGTCTTGGTGGTGTGAAGAAAGCCAGTAAGGAACTGCCACTCTCATGTGACCCTCCCAACTATCACTTACAAATTAAAGAAAAGGAGGGAAAACTCTAAGGATAAGGAAATGGCTGTAAAGGTGGCTGATGTGGCCCTGTTGCTGTGTAATTTCTCTGGCATGATATCTGAGGCTCTGAAGGTAAGACACATTACCTTTGGGTGCAGAGCAAAATGGCACTGTATCACTGTAGTAATCTTCTGGGCAGATCAAATGATGCTTCTGTAGCAATTCACTGTCCACACACCAGCTGAAGACGGTCTTCACTACACAGAGGGGAACAAGGACAAGAGTATTTCAAGCCAGACCGAGGTGGAAGAAGCAACACTTAAACTTTCTTTACCCTCCAGTCCTAAAAAAATCAAAGGAAATTCCTTCTCACAACCCTGTGATAGTGCTGAGGGTTAAGGAACTAAACAGTATTTATCAGCCACTTTAAAAAGGCTAACTACTGGGCTGTGTTTGGATATTACTTCAGCTAAAATATTCTTATGCACAGGAAAACCTATAACAAACATAAGGTAGCTGGAATAAGTGGCCCCCATTCTTCACTTTCCCTGTACAAAAGTCCTTGAAATATGACTTTGCAGCGCCCCTTACTAGAGACAAAGTACACCTCTTCACCCTTGTCTTTGGCCAGTGAAATGTCAGCAAGATTTGAAATGTGCTTACACAGTGACCTTTCCCTCTTGTACTTTGGCGAAAGCTCTTGTACAACAGCGAAGAGCTTCCTTTCCCGTTCATCTTGCACAACAGCATAAATCCATGTGGAGCAGAACTGAGCCCAAACTACAGCAAAGAGGCAAGCTCAGCAGGACCTACAGCTTGAAGCCAGTCCAGCCAACCAAGCCCAGCTAGATCAGCCAACCTCCCACTGATCTAAAGACACATAAGAGAAAAGACCTCACTTAATAGGGTAGTAGGTTGATAATATCTATGGTTGGTGAGCCAAGAAATAGCAGTAAAGACATATTATTTATATATCATATAAATAACATTATGTAAACATATCCAGAAGAATTAAAATTAGAAATAGTTACCTTTGGCAAGTGGACTGAGGCTGGGAGTGGAGAGATGCAAGCTTTTATTAAAACAGAGCAGTTTTAAGTGATCAGCAAAATTGCAAGAAAAGTACAGAGACTGCCCCATGTCTCCGCACCATAGGTACAGTCCCCATTATTGATATCCACCATCAGAGTAGTACGTTTGCTATAACTGATAGATCTGCCTTGACACATCATTATCACCTACAGTCCATGTTTTATATTATAGTTCACTCTTGGTATTGTACATTCTAAGTGTCTGGAACAATTTATACTGACATGTTCAGGTGGAGGCTTTTTATACCTATTAAAAGTTCTGAGGGCCAGGGATTTAGCTCAGTGGCAAAATGCCTGCCTCGCAAGCACAAGGTCCTAAGTTCGATTCCTGGTACCAAAAAAAAAAAAATTCTTCTAAACTGTTTTGTAAACCATGTGTATTTATTATTTTGATAAAAAAAAAATAAGCAGTTAGGATAAGTGGAAAACTTGGGAATTTTCTAACATCGTTGTTTGCTCAGTTTACCAATACTATCTTAAGACATGCACTGTCATATGGTCTTTCCCTTTGAAGGTCTCATATGACCAAGCGGGCAGGAGAGGTGACCAAAGAATGCTCATTTCCCCCATCATACATGCTAATCGAGAACTCTTGAGTTTTGGCTTAGTTACTATGATAGTCAGGAAACCAGAAAACACTTCATGCATCTCAAATAGAAAGGATTTTTATATAGAGGATTACAGACTAAGGGAGAAAAGGTCTAGGAAGCCATCATAACAATGGCAGTTCACAGCACTGAAGCAGGAGTTTCTCAGGAAGTTATTTGGAAGCTGCTTCAAAACAGGCACTGAATCATCAAGACTAATGGTCAGCCCTTCCAGAGCTTACTCAGGCCTTCTCTTCAGCAGATCTTTCTTGGAACCATAACAGAGAGGTGCTTTCCTTCAGGAAATATAGTCCCTGATCTCTCCTTGGCAAAGGAGACTGTGGCAGGGAGCTGCAGCAATGTCAAGTTAATACAATCTAACTCAGTTCCCAAGGACTTTGGTGATGGCTTATGTGAAATATCCAATGATAAGAGCAGAGGCCATGTGACCAGATGTACCCTCTCTCTTCTGATACCATTCTATCCATAGTCCTCCCCCAGGGTGGGGATGGTTAGGAGATATGTCTGTAGGGGCTGGGGACAGTTTGTTTATTAGATCTTCATAGAGTGTTTTTCCATGTAACTGCTGGACCTGTACAAAATTTATTGTTCTGGCCTTGTAACTATCTTCCTCCTTCTGGGAAGAGTGGAGCCCATGGCTCCTACTCTGCAAGGGACTAGTTATTTTCATTCTCCAAAAAGGTAACAGGGACAAGTTACTAGCAAGGGGTGGGAATGAAAACACAAGATGTTATATAGAGTCCTGATCTTTTTCCCTGTTTGGAGAATTCATGAATGCTTTCTACCTTTTCACATTTGTATTAGCAAGCAGAAAAATGTGATCTTGTGCTTCACATAATCAAAGTTTTAGGAGAGTATCCTCACTCCAAGTTATCTAAGTTATAAAAGAGGTCCTGGGGTCATCTCACCCTGCCTTGAAAATCAAGGACCAGACCAGTGTCTATGGAGCTGGACGGAAGTCTCTACTTCTGCCACTTTTGAAATAAAAGAAAGACACAGTGGCAGCATAAGGCTGAGAAACCAGGAAATAACACATGATCATAACATCACCTTGGGTAAAAAGTCAGATAAAATGGATTTTAAAGATCTCCTAATTGATGTTTGTTTCCCAGCTCTTTATTTTATCTCATTTTCATCAAAAAACAACAATATGGCTTCTCCCATCCCAGATGCCATCGCTCCAGCACCTGGAAGGTAGCCTGGGCCCCGATGCACCATGGGAAGGAGAGCCACACCTTCTCCCGCCCCAGCCGCCATCGCTCCAGTGCCAGAAAGATAGCCACGCAGGTGCCCCTGAACCCCCATAACTCCCCTTACCCCCCCCGTGCACTCTTAGACCTCCTGATTGAGCCAGTCTTTGGACCCACTCTGGAGAGTCAGAGGTGGCCATAAAGGGTATTTTTCTGAGTTCCCAACTTTGAACATCTTTAAAGAAAGGGCCTGGGAAACGTGTAATAGAATGGTGTGAAGTTCAACCATTCAGAAGGTTGGGGAACTCAATCTGAGCCTTGCAGCCCGAGGTCAGTCAGCATCATGGGGTTTAGCCATCAACTAACTGAGACCAGGGGTCTTGCATCCTAGCTCTGTCTGAACCATTAAATGGTAAATATACTATATTGAAATTTTGTTCACTGCAGATATGTTCTGGACTGCTTCTTGATTTCAATTTAATTCAAATGATTTAAGGGTGATAGACTAGTGACTGCCACAGTGTTCAGTTTCCAAGTTGTGCTTGATCATATTGTGTTGCTGATTGTATCAGTTGGGATAAAGGATTGTGGTTGATTCTATGAGCTGTTTTCTCTGATGTTATGAAGATGAGAATGTCTGTGGGTCGTTAGAGACCCAGAAGCTATGGCGCAACTATATCAGGAAGATTTGGGTGATAACCCAGGGAATAAACCAAGGACAGTCCAACGACAAAAATAAAAATGAGAAAACACTTAAGCAAGACACAAGGACAGACTTCCAGTTCACCAATGGCAAACAGTAGGGCAAATGAGGAAGAAAAGGCCAATAGTGAATCATCAGGACACCCTGAACTCAAAGCACAGGAAGTAACAAAACAGATCAATCAGGCTCTAGAAAAATTCAAAACAGAAATAATTTCCCAGATAACCATAGAGAGAGTGAGCAAAATGGAAGTCGTGATTCGAGACCCTAGAGCAGAAACTGACAAAAAAATAGATGAGCTCAGGACCATGATAGAAGCCATGAAGGCCCAGCATAAGAAAGAAATGGAAAAATAAATGCCCAACATAGGAAAGAAATGGAATCCATAAAACAGATTCAAACAGATATCCAGGAAATTAAACACTCCATTGAAAGTGTACGCAACAGAATAAAAGAATGCGAAGATAGACTCTCAGATATAAAAGATAAGATTGCAGTCAGTGATCACGACAAGAGAGGTCTCTTAAAAATAGTAGGGGATCATGAGAAATTGATCCAACAACTCCTAGATGATGCAAAGAAGAATAACATAAAACTCATAGGAATCCATGAAGTAGCAGGAGAAAATACAAATGACTTACAAAAGCTGTTCACAGAATTAATGACAGAAAACTTCCCAAGCAGAGGGGAAGAATTTGACATTCAGGTAAGTGAGGCATATAGGACCCCAACTAGCCACAATCAAAAAAAAATCTACACCTAGACATATAATAATCAAGATCCCAGAAACCCAACAGAAGAACAAAATACTACAAGCAGTAAGAGAAAAGAAACAAATCACATGCAAAGGAAAGCCCATCAGAATCACAACAGACTTTTCAACACAAACCTTTGGGTCAAGGAGAGCCTGGAATGAGATATTTCAAGTACTAAAAGAGAACAACCTCCAACCTAGACTGATGTATCCAGCAAAACTCTCTTTCAAAATGGATGGGGAAATAAGACACTTCCATGACAAAGAACACTGAGAAACTACATGAATACCAAACCAGCACTACAAGCAATTCTAAACAAGATCCTAGAAAAAGACAATGAAGGCAACAACACCATGAGGTCCAACAGAGCAAATCAAATAGTCAAGGCAAGAAACTAAAAGGAGAAGGTGAAAAAGTAAAAAGAGTCAACAAAAGGCCAATAAAATGTCAATAATAAGTCAGTACATATCAGTTATAACCAGCAATGTCAATGGCCTCAACTCACCAATCAAGAGAAATAGACTGGCAGAATGGAATAAGAAGCAAAATCCAAAAATATGTTGTATATAAGAAACAATCCTAGTGCAAAAAGAAGCCCATAGACTGAAAGTGAAAGGATAGAAAACAACTCTCCATGTGACAGGAGCCCAGAAAAAAGCAGGGGTAGCAATCTTATTTGCAGACAAAACAAATTTCAAAGCAAAACTGATTCTAGTATTATTGATGTAGGAAGGTACTGTATCATACCTCTGAGAATGTAAAATATCTTGTACCTGCTTTATGATATGTAGTAGTGACCGTGCTTTACCAGAG